TTGCGCAAGGTCCGCTTGGATCCAGGGTCTCCGAAAAGGTACCACTGGAGCATTGTTGCGCAAGGTCCGCTTGGATCCAGGGTCGCCGAAAAGGTCCGAAAAGGTACCCCTGGAGCATTGTTGCGCAAGGTCCGCTTGGATCCAGGGTCTCCGAAAAGGTACCCCTGGAGCATTGTTGCGCAAGGTCCGCTTGGATCCAGGGTCTCCGAAAAGGTACCCCTGGAGCATTGTTGCGCAAGGTCCGCTTGGATCAAGGGTCTGGAGCATTGTTGCGCAAGGTTCGCTTGGGTCCAGGGTCTCCGAAAAGGTAACCCTGGAGCATTGTTGCGCAAGGTCCGTTTGGATCCGGGTACCCGAAAAGATACCCCTGGAGCATTGTTGCCCAAGGTCCGCTTGGATCCAGGGTCTCCGAAAAGGTACCGCTTGGATCCAGGGTCTCCGAAAAGGTACCCCTGGAGCATTATTGCGCAAGGTCCGCTTGGATCCAGGGTCTCCGAAAAGGTACCCCAGGAGCATTGTTGCGCAAGGTCCGCTTGGATCCAGGGTCTCCGAAAAGGTACCCCTGGAGCATTGTTGCGCAAGGTCCGCTTGGATCCAGGGTCTCCGAAAAGGTACCCCTGGAGCATTGTTGCGCAAGGTCCGCTTGGATCCAGGGTCTCCGAAAAGGTCCGAAAAGGTACCCCTGGAGCATTGTTGCGCAAGGTCCGCTTGGATCCAGGGTCTCCGAAAAGGTCCGAAAAGGTACCCCTGGAGCCTGCGCAAGTCCCTTGGCATCTCCGAAAAGGTTGCGCAAGGTCCGCTTGGATCCATGATCTCCGAAAAGGTACCCCTGAGCATTGTTGCGCGAGGTCCGCTTGATCCAGGTCTCCGAAAAGGTACCCCTGGAGCATTGTTGCGCAAGGTCCGCTTGGATCCAGGGTCTCCGAAAAAGGTACCCCTGGAGCATTGTTGCGCAAGGTCCGCTTGGATCCAGGGTCTCCGAAAAGGTACCCCTGGAGCATTGTTGCGCAAGGTCCGCTTGGATCCAAGGTCTCCGAAAAGGTACCCCTGAAGCATTGTTGCGCAAGGTCCGAAAAGGTACCCCTGGAGCATTGTTGCGCAAGGTCCGCTTGGATCCAGGGCCTCCGAAAAGGTACCCCTGGAGCATTGTTGCGCAAGGTCCGCTTGGATCCAGGGCCTCCGAAAAAGTACCCCTGTTGCGCAAGGTCCGCTTGGATCCAGGGTCTCCGAAAAGGTACCCCTGGAGCATTGTTGCGCAAGGTCCGAAAAGGTACCCCTGGAGCATTATTGCGCAAGGTCCGCTTGGATCCAGGGTCTGCGAAAAAGGTACCCCTGGAGCATTGTTGCGCAAGGTCCGCTTGGATCCAGGGTCTCCGAAAAGGTACATGGAGCATTGTTGCGCAAGGTCCGCTTGGATCCAGGGTCTCCGAAAAGGTACCCCTGGAGCATTGTTGCGCAAGGTCCGCTTGGATCCAGGGTCGCTGAAAAGGTACCCCTGGAGCATTGTTGCGCAAGGTCCGCTTGGATCCAGGGTCTCCGAAAAGGTACATGGAGCATTGTTGCGCAAGGTCCGCTTGGATCCAGGGTCTCCGAAAAGGTACCCCTGGAGCATTGTTGCGCAAGGTCCGCTTGGATCCAGGGTCGCTGAAAAGGTACCCCTGGAGCATCGTTGCGCAAGGTCCGCTTGGATCCAGGGTCTCCGAAAAGGTACCCCTGGAGCATTGTTGCGCAAGGTCCGCTTGGATCCAGGGTCTCCAAAAAAGTGCCCCTGGAGCATTGTTGCGCAAGGTCCGCTTGGATCCAGGGTCTCCGAAAAGGTCCGAAAAGGTACCCCTGGAGCATTGTTGCGCAAGGTCCGCTTGGATCCAGGGTCTCCGAAAAGGTATGCCTGGAGCATTGTTGCGCAAGGTCCGCTTGGATCCAGGGTCTCCGAAAAGGTACCCCTGGAGCATTGTTGCGCAAGGTCCGCTTGGATCCAGGGTCTCCGAAAAGGTACCCCTGGAGCATTGTTGCGCAAGGTCTGCTTGGATCCAGGGTCTCCGAAAAGGTACCCCTGGAGCATTGTTGCACAAGGTCCGCTTGGATCCAGGGTCTCCGAAAAGGTACCCTGGAGCATTGTTGCGCAAGGTCCGCCTGGATCCAGGGCCTCCGAAAAGGTACCCCTGGTGCATTGTTGCGCAAAGTCCGCTTGGATCCAGGCTCTCCGAAAAGGTCCGAAAATGTACCCCTGGAGCATTGTTGCGCAAGGTCCGCTTGGATCCAGGGTCTCCGAAAAGGTACCCCTGGAGCATTGTTGCGCAAGGTCCGCTTGGATCCAGGGTCTCCGAAAAGGTACCCCTGGAGCATTGTTGCGCAAGGTCCGCTTGAATCCAGGGTCTCCGAACCCCTGGAGCATTGTTGCGCAAGGTCCGCTTGGATCTAATAACATAATGTGTGCGTGCGCTTCCTAAAAAAACATTCAATTTCTAATGTAAAATGACAAGGAATTTTATGACGCGTGCAGTTGTATTAGAAATTTGGGCTTTTACCCCTGGAGCATTGTTGCTGCAAGGTCCGCTTGGATCCAGGGTCTCCGAAAAGGTACCCCTGGAGCATTGTTGCGCAAGGTCCGCTTGGATCCAGGGTCTCCGAAAAGGTACCCCTGAAGCATTGTTGCGCAAGGTCTGCTTGGATCCAGGGTCTCCGAAAAGGTACCCCTGGAGCATTGTTGCGCAAGGTCCGCTTGGATCCAGGGTCTCCGAAAAGGTACCCCTGGAGCATTGTTGCACAAGGTCCGCTTGGATCCAGGGTCTCCGAAAAGGTACCCCTGGAGCATTGTTGCGCAAGGCCCGCTTGGATCCAAGGTCTCCGAAAAGGTACCCCTGGAGCATTGTTGCGCAAGGTCCGCTTGGATCCAGGGTCTCCGAAAAGGTACCCCTGGAGCATTGTTGCGCAAGGTCCGCTTGGATCCAGGGTCTCCGAAAAGGTACCGCTTGGATCCAGGGTCTCCGAAAAGGTACCCCTGGAGCATTGTTGCGCAAGGTCCGCTTGGATCCAGGGTCTCCGAAAAGGTACCTCTGGAGCATTGTTGCGCAAGGTCCGCTTGGATCCAGGGTCTCCGAAAAGGTACCCCTGGAGCATTGTTGCGCAACGTCCGCTTGGATCCAGGGTCTCCGACAAGGTACCCCCAAAAAATACATTTTAGATGAGATAAAGAAAGAAAGCCCAAAAAAGGTTCGGGAGGCCGCAGAAAGGCCCCCAACAACCCGTAGAAGGGAGGTCCCCCCCGAAAAAAAAGGCATTGGAGGCCCCAAACAAGCACAACGGTGGCTTTTTTTGCCACCCGACTAGCCACGGCAATGCGGGGTGCAAGGTCGGAATTTAAAGAACCGGTGTTCCCAGGCAATCAAATGGCTACCAGGAATACGACGCCCGCATGGGCAAGCATGGTAGGACAGTATGGTCGGATGATGGTGTGTTTGGCGGGGGGTTGTATGTCACAGCAACAAACACGACGGTGGTTTAGGGTTTAGGGTTATAGGGTTATAGGGCTTTGCCCTCAGCCCAAAAATGCGTCTTGATAGGGCCGGCGAGGAATTGCAACACACGTTTCCTGCATGCCTTATCCGGCCACACAGAGCATGCCTGCAATTTTCCCCCTCTCGACCCCCGCCCCCCCCCACCCATATGGAGAAACACACAACACGGAAAATGCAGAAAAAAATGTTCTGCAATTTGGTACCCCCCCCCCCTTTTCTGCATTTATAAGGGTGGGGGGAACCAAGATGTTGCAACAGAAAAACAGAGCCTACGGACACCTTGAAGGGAACTTCCGTGTCAAGATGTTGCCACAGAACGACAGAGCCCACCGACACCTTGAAGGGAACTTCCATGTCAAGATGTTGCAACAAAACGACAGAGCCCACGGACACCTTGAAGGGAATTTCCATGTCAAGTTTTTGCAACAGAACCACAAAGCCCACGGACACCTTGAAGGGAATTTCCACGTCAAGATGTTGCAACACCCCCTCGTCCGGGGTGGGTGGTGACCGGAGCTTTGGTCTTCACCCCTCTACTCCGAGGGCACAGCGACAGGGACCTGTTTGCAGGTGAATGGCCCGAGCCTGCCATTCCCCCTTTCACAGGAAACGGTGGTGAATGAGTGAGTCCCCGGAGCGCATGGGTCGCGTTGTGCACGTAGTATCCGTAGAGGGATCTGCGGAGAAGTGTGCCTGCTGCTTTAGCACGCGGCTGCGCAGTGCCCAACGCAGAGGCGATGTTGTCTGCCTGGCTTGAGGGATCTTCGGGGGAAGCGCTTTTTTGCATGGGCCTCAGCGAGGATGGCACGCTGTCTTGCCTTTATGCCGGTTTTCCGGTGGCGGGCCTGCCTAGTTGTGGTTCCGGTCAAAATGGTGGACAAACCCTCTTGCTTAACCGGGCTTGCCGACCTCAGAGCGTTGTCTTGGGGTTGGGGCGCGCGCCGGACGTGAACTCCAAGTGGAGGGGGCAATGACGGTTGCGGAGCTCCCAAGAAGCCGGGAGGGAACAGCGCCAAAGGCACGGCTGCTGCACGTGCCACCTCGTGCAGTGAGCCAGCACTCACTCACTCACTCACTCACTCACTCACTCAAGATGTTGCAACAGAACCACAGAGCCCACGGACACCTTGAAGGGAACCTCCATGTCAAGATTTTGCTACAGACCTGCAGAGCCCGCGGACACCTTCAAGGGAATTTCCATGTCAAGATGTTGCAACAGAACCACCGAGCCCACGGACACCTTGCATGGAAGTTCCACGTCAAGATTTTGCAACAGAACCGCAGAGCCAAAGGACACTTAGAAGGGAATTTCCATGTCAAGATGTCGCAACAGAACGAAGACGACCCAAGCAACTCTTGAAGGGAATTTACCATGCCAAGATGTTGCAAAAGAATAGCGAAGGGGCCTCAAAAACCCTTGAAAAGAGTTTCCGGTCAAGATAGGTGTCCGTGGGCTTTGTGGTTCTGTTGCAACATCTTGACATGGAAATTGCCTTGAAGGTGTCCGTGGGCTCTGTGGTTCTGTTGCAACATCTTGACATGCAATTTCCCTTCAGGGTGTCCAGGGCTCTGTCGTTCTGTTGCAACATCCTGACATGGAAATTCCCTTCAAGGTGTCCGTGGGCTCTGTCGTTCTGTTGCAACATCTTGAAGGAAATTCCCTTCAAGGTGTCCTTGGGCTCTGTGGTTCTGGTGCAACATCTTGACATGGAAAAGCACTTCAAGGTGTCCGTGGGCTCTGTGGTTCTTGTGGTTCTGTTGCAACATCTTGACAAGGAAATTCCCTTCAAGGTGTCCATGGGCTCTTTTGTTCTGTTTCAACATCTTGACATGGAAATTCTCTTGAAGGTGTCCTTGGGCTCTGTTGTTTTGTTGCAACACCTTGGCATGGAAATTCGCTTCAAGGTGTCCGCGGGATTTGTCGTTGGCAACATCTTGACATGGAAATTCTCTTCAAGGTGTCCGTGGGCTCTGTGGTTCTGTTGCAACATCATGACATGGGAATTCCCTTCAAGGTTTCCGTGGGATCTGTGGTTCTGATGCAAATTCTTGACATGGAAATTCCCTTCAAGGTGTCCTTGGGCTCTGTGGTTCTGTTGCAACATCTTGACATGGAAATTATGTGGAAGGTTTCCTTTGGCTCTGTCGTTCTGTTGCAACATCACGACATGGAAATTCCCTTCAAGGTGTCCGTGGGCTCTGTGGTTCTGTTGCAACATCTTGACATGGAAAAGCACTTCAAGGTGTCCGTGCGCTTTGCGGTTCTGTTGCAACATCTTGACATGGAAATTCCCTTCAAGGTTGTCTTGGGCTATGTCGTTCTGCTGCAACATCTTGACATGGAATTTCCATTCAAGGTGTCCTTGGGCTCTGAGGTTCTGTGGCAACATCTTGACATGCAAATTCCCTTCAAGGTGTTCGTGGGCTCTGTCGTTCTGTTGCAACATCTTGACATGGAAATTCCCTTCAAGGTTCCTTGCGCTCTGTCGTTCTGTTGTAACATCTTGACATGGAAGTTCCCTTCAAGGTGTCCGTGGGCCCTGTAGTTCTGTTGCAACATCTTGACATGGAGGTTCCCTTCAAGGTGTCCGTGGGTCCTGTAGTTCTGTTGGAACATCTTGACATTCAAGTTCTCTTCAAGGTGTCCTTGGGCTCTGTTGTTCTGTTGCAACATCTTGGCATGGAAATTCCCTTCAAGGTGTCCGCAGGATTTGTCGTTGGCAACATCTTGACATGGAAATTCCTTTCAATGTGTCCGTGGGCTCTGTGGTTCTGTTGCAACATCTTGACATGGAAATTCCTTTCAAGGTGTCCGCGGGATTTGTCGTTGGCAACATCTTGGCATGGAAATTCCCTTCAAGGTGTCCGCGGGACTTGTCGTGGGCAACATCTTGACAAGGAAATTCCGTTCAAGGTGTCCGTGGGCTCTGTGGTTCTGTTGCAACATCTTGACATGGAAACTCCCTTCAAGGTGTCCTTGGGCTCTGAGGTTCTGTTGCAACATCTTGGCATGGAAATTCCCTTCAAGGCGTCCGTGGGACTTGTCGTTGGCAACATCTTGACATGGAAAATCCCTTCAAGGTGTCCGTGGGCTCTGTGGCTCTGTTGCAACATCTTGACATGGAAATTCCCTTCAAGGTGCCCTTGGGCTCTGTTGTTCTGTAGCAACATCTTGGCATGGAAATTCCCTTCAAGGTGTCCGCGGGATGTGTCGTTGGCAACATCTTGACATGGAAATTCCTTTCAAGGTGTCCGTGGGCTCTGTGGTTCTCTTGCAACAACTTGACATGGAAATTCCCTTCAAGGTGTCCGTGGCTGTGTCCGCGGGATTTGTCGTTGGCAACATCTTGACATGGAAACTCTTTTCAAGGTGTCCGTGGGCTCTGTGGTTCTGTTGCAACATCTTGACATGGAAATTCCCTTCAAGGTGTCCGTGGGCTTTGTGGTTCTGTTGCAACATCTTGGCATGGAAATTCCTTTCAAGGTGTCAGCGGGATTTGTCGTTGGCAACATCTTGACATGGAAATTCTTTTCAAGGTGTCAGTGCGCTTCGTGGTTCTGTTGCAAGATCTTGACATGGAAATTCCCTTCAAGGTTCCTTGCGCTCTGTCGTTCTGTTGCAACATCTTGACACTCAAGTTCTCTTCATTGTTCTGTTGCAACATCTTGGCATGGAAATTCCCTTCAAGGTGTCCGCGGGATTTGTCGTTGGCAACAGCTTGACATGGAAATTCCTTTCAAGGTGTCCGTGGGCTCTGTGGTTCTCTGGCAACATCTTGACATGGAAATTCCCTTCAAGGTGTCCGTGGGCTTTGTGGTTCTGTTGCAACATCTTGACATGGAAATTCCCTTCAAGGTGTCCTTGGGCTCTGTTGTTCTGTTGCAACATCTTGGCATGGAAATTCGCTTCAAGGTGTCCGCGGGATTGGTATTTGGCAACATCTTGACATGGAAAATCTTTTCAAGGTGTCAGTGCGCTTCGTGGTTCTGTTGCAACATCTTGACATGGAAATTCCCTTCAAGGTCTTCTTGGGCTATGTCGTTCTGCTGCAACATCTTGACATGGAAATTCCCTTCAAGGTGTCCGTGTGGTCTGTGGTTCTTATGCAACATCTTGACATGGAAATTCCCTTCTTGGTGTCCTTGGGCTCTGTCGTTCTGTAGCAACATCTTGACATGGAAATTCCCTTCTTGGTGTCCTTGGGCTCTGTCGTTCTGTTGCAACATCTTGACATGGAAATTCCCTTCAAGGTGTCCGTGGGCCCTGTCGTTCTGTTGCAACATCTTGACATGGAAATTCCCTTCAAGGTGTCCGTGGGCTCATGGTGCTGTTGCAGCATCTTGACATGGAAATTCCCTTCAACGTGTCCGTGGCCTCTGTCGTTCTGTTGCAACATCTTGACATGGAAGTTCCCTTCAAGGTGTCCGTGGGCTCTGTGGTTCTGTTGCAACATCTTGACATGGAAATGCCTTTCAAGGTGTCCGTGGACCCTGTCGTGCTGTTGGCAACATCTTGACATGGAAATTCGCTTCAAGGGCGCTGTGGTTCTGTTGCAACATCTTGACATGGATATTTCCTTCAAGGTGTCCGTGGGCTTTGTGGCTTTGTTGCAACATCTTGACATGGAAGTTTCCTTCAAGGTGTCCGTGGGCTCTGTGGTTTTGTTGCAACATCTTGACATGGAAATTCCCCTCAAGGTGTCCGTGGGTTCCGCCGTTCTGTTGCAACACCTTGACATGGAAATTCCCTTCAACGGTCCGCGGGCTCTGTGGTTCTGTTGCAACATCTTGACATGGACATTCTTTTCAAGGTGTCCATGGGCTCTGTGGTTCTTTTGCAACGTCTTGACATGGAAATTCCCTTCAGGCTATGCCGCTGCTGGAGGCTCTTGGTGAGTTAGATGACGTCCAGATAGGGTTGCGCTTGCTGCGGTCTTGCGCGGGGCACTGCCGGGTGGTACATGTATGCGCTGCTGTCCGCCACACGGGCTCTCGGGCTCTCACCAGCGCTTCAGCTCTTTGACTCTTCAGTCAGGGATTGCTTCGCTGCCCTCACTGGACTGCATCTTGACGCCACACAATTGGAACAAGCCGCCCTATGCTGGCCTGGATCTCCGATCCACGACTGGGCGCCTGCCTCGACACCTGCAGGGCCATTGACCCCAGCTATGCTGATGCTGGGCTTGCTGTGGAGGTTGAGGTTGTCGAGGCGGTCGACACTCTTAACCTCAACAGGGCTGCGCCCGTCGCTGCACATCTGGCCCTGGGCATGAAGCGTCCCTCGCTGCAGCGACTGATGAGGCTAGCTGGGTCCGCCAGCTTGCCAGCTGCTCGTTGACGTCTCGGGCCCTGCTTCGGTTTGAGGCTGAACCTCGTGGGCCTTTCTGGCGGCCACTCCTTCAGGTCCTAAGCGCATCGAAACTTCCCTGTTCGTCACGGAGCTCCGGCAAAGACTTGGAGTCTCGGACGCTGCCGGATTGGTGCCCCAAGTGTGACGGCGTCCTGGATGCGTGCTCTTTGCATGCCGCTACCTGCAGCGCAGGCGGCGACCATACCCTGCGCCACCATGCAGTCCGCGACCTTCTCTGCAGGTGGGCTGAGCGAGTGGGATCCCGCCCAGGGCTTCTTCTCCCACAACACCCTGAGGAGGATGGTAATGCTTTGCAGCGCCCCGCGGATGTGTACTTGCCCTGCTTGCGGGGTTCTCCTGCTGCTCTTGACCTGGCCATTACGGCCCCACAGCGGCAGGAGACTCTCGCTCAGGCGGGCAACAAGGCACTTGCGGCTGCCCAAGCTTACGCTCAACACAAGGCGGCCCACTTGGACACAGCACGCTTGTGCGAGTCTCAAGGCATCAAGTTGATTCCCATGGTGGCGGAGATTAGTGGTGTGTGGGAGCCGGCTGCGAGCAAAGTACTCCTGCAGATATCCCGCGCCGCGGCTGCGCGCACAGGCGCTGACGCCGCTCTCCTGCACGCCGATCTGCTGCAAGAACTTTGTGTGACAATCCGTGCTCACCGCACACGTGCAGTGCTGCGCGGGGAGCGGAGCTCGTGGACGAAGCACCACTGCCATGAACACCAACGGCCACTCTTTCCTCGCCTTGGCCCTTTCTGCAGCCTATCCTTCCAAGGGCTTGAAGCTGCTGGCATGCATTCCTGGCGTTGTTCTTTCCCTCGAAGCCACATGTTTGCCCCTTGTGATCTGTTGCACCGGACTGTAAGCCACCCCATAGATTCCATTAGCGGAGACCTGGTTCGGGGTCAGCTGTGCCCGACTGCGCCCTGCAGAGCGGCCCTCAGAAGTAGGTGTTGCATTGTCACGATTCAGCACTCCTCTTACCCTAAACCCTAAACCCTAAACCCTAAACCCTAAACCCTAAACCCTAACCCTTAAACCCTAATTGTTGGTGTCACCGCTTGTGTTGCCTTGATAGAGAATGCTTGCACATCTCAAGCATGCCTTCTGGCATCCAAAGAAGCAATAACCCTGGGTGGGCCGGGCGGGCCATCGAAAGGCAGCTACAAGTGTTCCCGGCTGATATGGAGCTTGGGCCCCAGTACATCAGCACAGTTGACGATTCGCAGCTGCGCGACTACACATCCTGATTACACTGCGCCTGCAGGAAAGCTTCTGGAATCAGGCCCGCTCGCCCAACAATATCACCTTCATTGTTGGTGTCACCGCTTGTGTTGCCTTGCTGACGGCATGCCCATTTTCGCTCGCCTGATGATAGAGAATGCTTGCACATCTCAACCATGCCTTCTGGCATCCAAAGAAGCAATAACACCCAAACACCAAGCAGCTGGCGTGAGAACGCCGTAGTCATTAACAAAAGGGTTTGTTTCCAGCCGGGATCGTAGCCAAGCACCAGGTCGCAAGTCTGCGCTAAATGCAAGCGCTGCCGGTCGGCACTTCACGGCAGGCACAGACCGTGGTTACTCACTCTGCGAAGCACAGAACCCAGTTTTGCCATCAACAGGTTGAAGACGAAAGGCCATAGAAACCTCTGCCTCCACGTAGTTCCCGGTGCCCCGCAGTTGAGTGTAGGCGAGACTTGAATTCCACAAAAATGTAAACACAGCCGAGCAGATCACAAGCCTGGGCCCCACACTTCTTGTAAAGTTTGTACGCTTGAAACCACCTGCCTCACGCGACTCACAAGCGCTGGCCCCACATGTGTTTTGTAAGACTGCTTCCGGCGTTGAGCTTGCCGTCTCTTCCGGCGACCCCGGCTGGGTGCATCAGCCGGGTTGTGCTCCGATGGGATGTACACGAGCCTGAGGAGTGAGTTCGTGGCAAGCAACAAAGAACCAAGCTGTCTCATGATACCACGCAGAGTCCTTGCAGAGCTTCGGCCGTTGCAGGCTGCTCCAAGAATGGCTTTTGCATCTATCAAGACAACCAGTCGGCGATGGAAATGCTTTGCTGAGTTGCTGTCCTCAGAAGCCATTTTGTGGCGAGCAGCAGACCGTGAGCTTCTAGCGTGCTTGAGCACTCCAACGAGCCTTGGCACTGACGGCAACGCGAAAGCGCCCCTTCCTGATGGGCAGCACATGAGGCTGCCCCAATCGGTCTTTGCAAGGCTCCTCATCAGGGTCCGGAAAAAGCCGCACGTAGTCACCGCGCCTTTCTGCCAGCAACCCGATCGAAGCAGCCGTGCGCACGGAACAGGGCCAGTAGCTCACCCCGAAACCATACTCGGGCGCAGCATCGCACGCTGTGAGCATGGGCAGGAAGCTTCTACCCAAGTCGGCTCCCATGAGTGGCACTAGGCAGGCAACCACAACCAGCTCAGTCCGCACGTCTTCTGGCAGGGCAACTTCCCGATCGTCTGGTTCGCCTCGCACGAAAAGCATAGACAGCACTGAAAACGCTGAACATGGGCCTGCACAAAAGGCAGAACCATTGGACCAGGCCCAGGAGTCTGTTGAGGGCTCGCGGTGAAGCACGACCCCTCACAAGCAAGTCCAGCAGTGCAGCAAAGAGCGTGACCAACTTCGCAGTGTTCGGTTCAGCGGCAGGAGGGGACACGGTGAGCTCACACCCAAGGGCCGTCATCGACGAGTCGAGCGTGACGTCCTTGTCAGCATTCTTGGGCATCCCTCTGTCTTCTACACCGTGTCCAACTTCTTCAAGCGTTCACGTCCGAGAGCCAAGCTTCTGTGAATGAAGAAGGTGTCATCAGTAGCCACACCACATGCCTCGCAGCCACAAGGAGGGGGATCTTCCATAGTCATGAAAGCGCAGTCTGGCACACCTGCCTCGCGACAGCAAGCGACAGTGCTAGCCTGAGCCACACATGAGCTCCAGCTGAAGCCCATTGGCCACACAGTGCTTGCTGGATACACCTTGTCGTGCAGCGACAACGGTCTGTCTCCAACATCCACCACGTAGCGCCGAACTCATCGACGGAAGCAGCGCCTGCACGGCTGAGCTGGTCCAGCGTCACCGGTGGTCTGCCGAAGTACTGCTGTAGGGCGTCGGGCGCCTGTACGACATCAAAACACGTTTGGACGTCCCTGTTTGACATGTATATGTCTTCGCCAGCCCCAAACTCCTAGTCCACGAAGCATGAGGGATTTGCCAGCTTGTCGGGAGGAGGAGGCCGCTGTGCAGCTGCTGAGACCTTGGCGCCGTTCCAAATCTCGCGCTGCCTGCCGGGCGTCGACTTGTTGACACAAAACACGTCTCCCAGGCCTTTGACTTCGCGGCGCAAGCGCAACTTGCCACAAGCTACAGCTAGGAGTCGCAGCACAAGCTTTGCATACTCGTCCGTCTGCGCCCCACAAGGAGGACTGATATCGTTCAAGTCTGGCAAGCACTCCATTATGCCACCTGCAGAACTTATGGCCTGAACCAAGTCGTCCTGAATGAAAGCAAAAGGGTCGCAAGTGCCAGCCTTCAGCGGTACGTCCACAGCCTCTGCCTGCATCGTGGGGTACTTGTTTGCAGCTTGTGTCTCACAGCGCGAGAAAGCTCCCACCCATTTCAAGCAGCCGCTGCAGTAGACGTCCAGCTCGCGCAGAAAACGCGCACAACGCTTCGCCACATGCTCCTGGACAATGCGCTGTGCTCCAGTTGGGCGCCGCCTGCAGTGTGCACTTTCGGGCCGTGGGCGCAAGTCGTCGGCCATGACATTGAGTGCAGCCAAGCACGCGTTGACCAGAAGCAAAGCAGCAGACTCTGCACTTTTCGGCAGCTCCACGTCAAAGTCCCACTCGGCAACAGAGGGCACGGGCAGCAGGTTCCGTTGCCGTCCAGAATTTCGCTGCACGCCAGTGTCTAACCAAGTCTTGAAGTAAGTGGAAAAAACATCGCTGCCACAAGTTAACAAATCTCGAAGCTGTTGATGCCAAGACCAGTTGTTCAACTGAGGTTGCAAGCGCCTCCTCCTCGCCCAACATCGAGCAAAATCACGCCGTAACTTGGATGGCGAAGCGTGCATCGCTGTTGAGGGTCAGGCCTCTCGTTGCCTGTCTAAGGCACCTGCGGCGGATGTCCATGTACTCCGCAAGCGCCCCAAAACAGAAAGTCTAGACCCAACCACCATCGAAAGGCAGCTACAAGTGTTCCCGGCTGATATGGAGCTTGAGCCCCAGTACATCAGCACAGTTGACGATTAGCAGCTGCGCGACTACACATCCTGATTACACTGCGCCTGCAGGAAAGCTTCTGGAATCAGGCCCGCTCGCCCAACAATATCACCTTCAACCTTAAACCCTAAACCCTAAATTGTGCTGTCTTGTCCTCATCCCGCCCTCAGACGTGGAGAAGGTGCCCTTCTGCACATGCGACCTCCAGAACCCTTCAAGGTGTCCGTGGGCTGTGGTTCTGTGGCAACATCTTGACATGGAAATTCCCTTCAAGGTGTCCGTGGGCTTTGTCGTTCTGTGGCAACATCTTAACATGGAAATTCCCTTCAAGGTGTCCGTGGGCTCTGTGGTTTTGTGGCAACATCTTGACATGGAAATTCCCTTCAAGGTGTCCGTGGGCGTTGTCGTTCTGTGGCAACATCTTGACATGGAAATTCCCTTCAAGGTGTCCGTGGGCTCTGTGGTTCTGTGGCAACATCTTGACATGGAAATTCCCTTCAAGGTGTCCGTGGGCTCTGTGGTTCTGTGGCAACATCTTGACATGGAAATTCCCTTCAAGGTGTCCGTGGGCTCTGTGGTTCTGTGGCAACATCTTGACATGGAAATTCCCTTCAAGGTGTCCGTGGGCTTTGTCGTTCTGTGGCAACATCTTGACATGGAAATTCCCTTCAAGGTGTCCGTGGGCTCTGTGGTTCTGTGGCAACATCTTGACATGGAAATTCCCTTCAAGGTGTCCGTGGGCTTTGTCGTTTGTTGGCAAATCTTGGACATGGAAATTCCCTTAAAGGTGTCCGTGGGCTTCTGTGTTCTGTGGCACACTTGACATGGAAATCCCTCAAGGTGTCCGTGGGCTTGTCGTCTGTGGAACAATCTTGACATGGAAATTCCTTCAAGGGGTCGTGGGCCCTCTGTGTTCTGTGGCAACATCTTGACATGGAAATTCCCTTCAAGGTGTCCGTGGGCTTTGTCGTTCTGTGGCAACATCTTGACATGGAAATTCCCTTCAAGGTGTCCGTGGGCTCTGTGGTTCTGTGGCAACATCTTGACATGGAAATTCCCCAAGGTGTCCGTGGGCTTTGTCGTTCTGTGGCAATATCTTGACATGGAAATTCCCTTCAAGGTGTCCGTGGGCTGTGTGGTTCTGTGGCAACATCTTGACATGGAAATTCCCTTCAAGGTGTCCGTGGGCTTTGTCGTTCTGTGGCAACATCTTGACATGGAAATTCCCTTCAAGGTGTCCGTGGGCTTTGTCGTTCTGTGGCAACATCTTGACATGGAAATCCCTTCAAGGTGTCCGTGGGCTTTGTGGTTCTGTTGCAACATCTGGACAGGAAATTCCCGTCAAGGGGTCCGTGGGCTTTTTACGTTCTGGTGGCAACATCTTGACATGGAAATTCCCTTCAAGGTGTCCGGGGCTTTGTTGGTTATGTTGCAAACATATGACATGGAAATGCCCGTAAAGTGTCCGTGGGGGCTTGTACGTTCTGTGCAACATCGTCAAAATGGAAATTCCTTCAAGGTGTTCCGGGGCCTCGTGGTTTTGTGGCAACATCTTGACATGGAAATTCCCTTCAAGGTGTCCGTGGGCTTTGTGGTTCTGTTGCAACATCTTGACATGGAAATTCCCTTCAAGGTGTCCGTGGGCTTTGTCGTTCTGTGGCAACATCTTGACATGGAAGTTCCCTTCAAGGTGTCCGTGGGCTTTGTGGTTCTGTTGCAACATCTTGACATGGAAATTCCCTTCAAGGTGTCCGTGGGCTTTGTCGTTCTGTGGCAACATCTTGACATGGAAATTCCCTTCAAGGTGTCCGTGGGCTTTGTCGTTCTGTGGCATCATCTTGACATGGAAATTCCCTTCAAGGTTTTCTTGGGCTCTGTCGTTCTGTTGCAACATCTTGACATGGAAATTCCCTTCAAGGTTCCTTGCGCTCTGTCGTTCTGTTGCAACATCTTGACATGGAAGTTCCCTTAATGGTGTCCGCGGGCCCCGTAGTTCTGTTGCAACATCTTGACATTGGAAATTCCCTTCAAAGGTGTCCCGTGGGCATTTGTCGTTTCGTTGCAACATCTGACATGGAAATTCCCTTCAAGTGTCCGTGGGCTTTTGTCGTTCTGTGGCAAACCATCTTGACATGAAATTCCCTTCAAGGTGTCCGTGGGCTTTGTCGTTCTGTGGCAACATCTTGACATGGAAATTCCCTTCAAGGTGTCCGTGGGCTTTGTCGTTCTGTGGCAACATCTTGACATGGAAATTCCCTTCAAGGTGTCCGTGGGCTTTGTCGTTCTGTGGCAACATCTTGACATGGAAATTCCCTTCAAGGTGTCCGTGGGCTTTGTCGTTCTGTGGCAACATCTTGACATGGAAATCCCTTCAAGGTGTCCGTGGGCTTTGTGGTTCTGTGGCAACATCTTGACATGGAAGTTCCCTTCAAGGTGTTCGTGGGCTCTGTCGTTCTGTGGCAACATCTTGACATGGAAATTCCCTTCAAGGTGTCCGTGGGCTTTGTGGTTCTGTTGCAACAGCTTGACATGGAAATTCCCTTCGAGGTGTCCGTGGGCTTTGTCGTTCTGTGGCAACATCTTGACATGGAAACTCCCTTCAAGGTGTCCGTGGGCTTTGTCGTTCTGTTGCAACATCTTGACATGGAAATTCCCTTCAAGGTGTCCGTGGGCTTTGTCGTTCTGTGGCAACATCTTGACATGGAAATTCCCTTCAAGTGTCCGTGGGCTCTGTGGTTCTGTTGCCACATCTTGACATGGAAATTCCCTTCAAGGTTTCCGTGGGCTCTGTGGTTCTGTTGCAACATCTGAATGGAAATTCCCTCAAGGTCCGTGGCTTTGTGTTCTGTGGAACATCTTGACATGGAATTCCTTTCAAGGTGTCCGTGGGCTTTGTCGTTCTGTGGCAACATCTTGACATGGAAATTCCCTTCAAGGTGTCCGTGGGCTTTGTGGTTCTGTTGCAACATCTTGACATGGAAATTCCCTTCAAGGTGTCCGTGGGCTTTGTGGTTCTGTTGCATCATATTGACATGGAAATTCCCTTCAAGGTGTCCGTGGGCTTTGTCGTTCTGTGGCAACATCTTGACATGGAAATTCCCTTCAAGGTGTCCGTGGGCTTTGTGGTTCTGTTGCAACATCTTGACATGGAAATTCCCTTCAAGGTGTCCGTGGGCTTTGTGGTTCTGTGGCAACATCTTGACATGGAAATTCCCTTCAAGGTGTCCGTGGGCTTTGTGGTTCTGTTGCAACATCTTGACATGGAAATTCCCTTCAAGGTGTCCGTGGGCTTTGTCGTTCTGTTGCAGCATCTTGACATGGAAATTCCCTTCAAGGTGTCCGTGGGCTTTGTCGTTCTGTGGCAACATCTTGACATGGAAATTCCCTTCAAGGTGTCCGTGGGCTTTGTAGATCTGTTGCAACATCTTGACATGGAAATTCCCTTCAAGGTGTCCGTGGGGGCTTTGTCGTTCTGATTGCAACATCTTGACTGGAATCTTCTCAGGTGTCCGTGGGCTTTGTGTTCTGTTGCAACATCTGACATGTAAATCCCTTCAAGGTCCGTGGTCTTTGTCGTTCTTGGGTGGCAAAAACAAAACCTCTTCCAGGAAATTCCCTTCAAGGTGTCCGTGGGCTTTGTGGTTCTGTTGCCACATCTTGACATGGAAGTTCCCTTCAAGGTGTCCGTGGGCTTTGTGGTTCTGTTGCCACATCTTGACATGGAAATTCCCTTCAAGGTGTCCGTGGGCTTTGTGGTTCTGTTGCAACATCTTGACATGGAAATTCCCTTCAAGGTGTCCGTGGGCTTTGTGGTTCTGTTGCCACATCTTGACATGGAAGTTCCCTTCAAGGTGTCCGTGGGCTCTGTGGTTCTGTTGCCACATCTTGACATGGAAATTCCCTTCAAGGTGTCCGTGGGCTTTGTGGTTCTGTTGCAACATCTTGACATGGAAATTCCCTTCAAGGTGTCCGTGGGCTTTGTCGTTCTGTGGCAACATCTGGACATGGAAATTCCCTTCAAGGTGTCCGTGGGCTTTGTGGTTCTGTTGCAACATCTTGACATGGAAATTCCCTTCAAGGTGTCCGTGGGCTTTGTCGTTCTGTGGCAACATCTTGACATGGAAATTCCCTTCAAGGTGTCCGTGGGCTCTGTGGTTCTGTGGCAACATCTTGACATGGAAATTCCCCAAGGTGTCCGTGGGCTTTGTCGTTCTGTGGCAATATCTTGACATGGAAATTCCCTTCAAGGTGTCCGTGGGCTGTGTGGTTCTGTGGCAACATCTTGACATGGAAATTCCCTTCAAGGTGTCCGTGGGCTTTGTCGTTCTGTGGCAACATCTTGACATGGAAATTCCCTTCAAGGTGTCCGTGGGCTTTGTGGTTCTGTTGCAACATCTTGACATGGAAATTCCCTTCAAGGTGTCCGTGGGCTTTGTCGTTCTGTGGCAACATCTTAACATGGAAATTCCCTTCAAGGTGTCCGTGGGCTCTGTGGTTTTGTGGCAACATCTTGACATGGAAATTCCCTTCAAGGTGTCCGTGGGCGTTGTCGTTCTGTGGCAACATCTTGACATGGAAATTCCCTTCAAGGTGTCCGTGGGCTCTGTGGTTCTGTGGCAACATCTTGACATGGAAATTCCCTTCAAGGTGTCCGTGGGCGTTGTCGTTCTGTGGCAACATCTTGACATGGAAATTCCCTTCAAGGTGTCCGTGGGCTTTGTGGTTCTGTGGCAACATCTTGACATGGAAATTCCCTTCAAGGTGTCCGTGGGCTTTGTCGTTCTGTTGCAACATCTTGACATGGAAATTCCCTTCAAGGTGTCCGTGGGCTTTGTCGTTCTGTGGCAACATCTTGACATGGAAATTCCCTTCAAGGTGTCCGTGGGCTTTGTGGTTCTGTGGCAACATCTTGACATGGAAGTTCCCTTCAAGGTGTTCGTGGGCTCTGTCGTTCTGTGGCAACATCTTGACATGGAAATTCCCTTCAAGGTTTCCTTGGGCTCTGTGGTTCTGTGGCAACATCTTGACATGGAAATTCCCTTCAAGGTGTCCGTGGCTTTGTGGTTCTGTGGCAACATCTTGACATGGAAATTCCCTTCAAGGTGTCCGTGGGCTTTGTCGTTCTGTGGCAACATCTTGACATGGAAATTCCCTTCAAGGTGTCCGTGGGCTTTGTCGTTCTGTGGCAACATCTTGACATGGAAATTCCCTTCAAGGTGTCCGTGGGCTCTGTGGTTCTGTGGCAACATCTTGACATGGAAATTCCCCAAGGTGTCCGTGGGCTTTGTCGTTCTGTGGCAATATCTTGACATGGAAATTCCCTTCAAGGTGTCCGTGGGCTGTGTGGTTCTGTGGCAACATCTTGACATGGAAATTCCCTTCAAGGTGTCCGTGGGCTTTGTCGTTCTGTGGCAACATCTTGACATGGAAATTCCCTTCAAGGTGTCCGTGGGCTTGTGGTTCTGTGGCAACATCTTGACATGGAAATTCCCTTCAAGGTGTCCGTGGGCTTTGTCGTTCTGTGGCAACATCTTGACATGGAAATTCCCTTCAAGGTGTCCGTGGGCTTTGTCGTTCTGTGGCAACATCTTGACATGGAAATTCCCTTCAAGGTGTCCGTGGGCTTTGTCGTTCTGTGGCAACATCTTGACATGGAAATTCCCTTCAAGGTGTCCGTGGGCTTTGTCGTTCTGTGGCAACATCTTGACATGGAAATCCCTTCAAGGTGTCCGTGGGCTTTGTGGTTCTGTGGCAACATCTTGACATGGAAGTTCCCTTCAAGGTGTTCGTGGGCTCTGTCGTTCTGTGGCAACATCTTGACATGGAAATTCCCTTCAAGGTGTCCGTGGGCTTTGTGGTTCTGTGGCAACATCTTGACATGGAAACTCCCTTCAAGGTGTCCGTGGGCTTTGTCGTTCTGTTGCAACATCTTGACATGGAAATTCCCTTCAAGGTGTCCGTGGGCTTTGTGGTTCTGTTGCAACATCTTGACATGGAAATTCCCTTCAAGGTGTCCGTGGGCTTTGTCGTTCTGTGGCAACATCTTGACATGGAAATTCCCTTCAAGGTGTCCGTGGGCTTTGTGGTTCTGTTGCAACATCTTGACATGGAAATTCCCTTCAAGGTGTCCGTGGGTGTGGTTCTGTTGCCACATCTTGACATGGAAATTCCCTTCAAGGTGTTGCAACATCTTAGCATGGAATTCCCTTCAAGGTGTCCCGTGGGCTTTGTTGTTCTGTGCATCATATTGACATGGAAATTCCCCCCTTCAGGTGTACCGTGGGCTTTGTCGTCTGTGCAACATCTGTACATGGAATTCCCTTTCAAGGTGTCCGTCGGGCTTTGTGGTTTCTGTTGCACATCTGAAACATGGAAATGCCCTTCAGGTGTCCGTGTGCTTTGTGGTTCTGTTGCAAACATCGTGACATGAATTTCCCCTTAAGGTGTCCGTGGGCTTTGTCGTTCTGTTGAACCATATTGAACATGGCATTCCTTCAAGGTGTCCGTGGGGCTTTGTGGTTCTGTTGCAACATCTTGACATGGAAATATTACCCTTCAAAGGTTCCGTGGGCTTTGTCGTTCTGTGGCCATCTGGACATGGAAGATTCCCTTCACGGTGTCAGTGGGGGCTTTGTGTATTTCTGTTGCCAACCTCTTGACATGTAAATTCCCTTCAAGGTGTCCGTGGGCTTTGTCGTTCTGTGGCAACATCTTGACATGGAAATTCCCTTCAAGGTGTCCGTGGGCTTTGTCGTTCTGTGGCAACATCTTGACATGGAAATTCCCTTCAAGGTGTCCGTGGGCTTTGTCGTTCTGTGGCAACATCTTGACATGGAAATTCCCTTCAAGGTGTCCGTGGGCTTTGTCGTTCTGTGGCAACATCTTGACATGGAAATCCCTTCAAGGTGTCCGTGGGCTTTGTGGTTCTGTGGCAACATCTTGACATGGAAGTTCCCTTCAAGGTGTTCGTGGGCTCTGTCGTTCTGTGGCAACATCTTGACATGGAAATTCCCTTCAAGGTGTCCGTGGGCTTTGTGGTTCTGTTGCCACATCTTGACATGGAAGTTCCCTTCAAGGTGTCCGTGGGCTCTGTGGTTCTGTTGCCACATCTTGACATGGAAATTCCCTTCAAGGTGTCCGTGGGCTTTGTGGTTCTGTTGCAACATCTTGACATGGAAATTCCCTTCAAGGTGTCCGTGGGCTTTGTCGTTCTGTGGCAACATCTGGACATGGAAATTCCCTTCAAGGTGTCCGTGGGCTTTGTGGTTCTGTTGCAACATCTTGACATGGAAATTCCCTTCAAGGTGTCCGTGGGCTCTGTGGTTCTGTTGCCACATCTTGACATGGAAATTCCCTTCAAGGTGTCCGTGGGCTTTGTCGTTCTGTGGCAACATCTTAACATGGAAATTCCCTTCAAGGTGTCCGTGGGCTCTGTGGTTTTGTGGCAACATCTTGACATGGAAATTCCCTTCAAGGTGTCCGTGGGCGTTGTCGTTCTGTGGCAACATCTTGACATGGAAATTCCCTTCAAGGTGTCCGTGGGCTCTGTGGTTCTGTGGCAACATCTTGACATGGAAATTCCCTTCAAGGTGTCCGTGGGCGTTGTCGTTCTGTGGCAACATCTTGACATGGAAATTCCCTTCAAGGTGTCCGTGGGCTCTGTGGTTCTGTGGCAACATCTTGACATGGAAATTCCCTTCAAGGTGTCCGTGGGCTTTGTCGTTCTGTGGCAACATCTTGACATGGAAATTCCCTTCAAGGTGTCCGTGGGCTTTGTGGTTCTGTGGCAACATCTTGACATGGAAATTCCCTTCAAGGTGTCCGTGGGCTTTTGGCGTTCTGTGGCCACATCTTGACATGGAAATTCCCTTCAAGGTGTCCGTGGGCTCTGTGGTTTCTGTTCTTATGGCAAACATCTATGGACAGGAACTCCCTTCAAGGTGCCGGGGGCCTTTGGTCGTTCTGTTGCAACATCTTGACATGGAAATTCCCTTCAAGGTGTCCTTGGGCTCTGTTGTTCTGTAGCAACATCTTGGCATGGAAATTCCCTTCAAGGTGTCCGCGGGATTTGTCGTTGGCAACATCTTGACATGGAAATTCCTTTCAAGGTGTCCGTGGGCTCTGTGGTTCTCTTGCAACATCTTGACATGGAAATTCCCTTCAAGGTGTCCGTGGGCTTTGTGGTTCTGTTGCAACATCTTGACATGGAAATTCCCTTCAAGGTTTTCTTGGGCTATGTCGTTCAGTTGCGACATCTTGACATGGAAATTCCCTTCAAGGTTTCCTTGGGCTCTGTGGTTCTGTGGCAACATCTTGACATGGAAATTCCCTTCAAGGTGTCCGTGGCTTTGTGGTTCTGTGGCAACATCTTGACATGGAAATTCCCTTCAAGGTGTCCGTGGGCTTTGTCGTTCTGTGGCAACATCTTGACATGGAAATTCCCTTCAAGGTGTCCGTGGGCTTTGTCGTTCTGTGGCAACATCTTGACATGGAAATTCCCTTCAAGGTGTCCGTGGGCTCTGTGGTTCTGTGGCAACATCTTGACATGGAAATTCCCCAAGGTGTCCGTGGGCTTTGTCGTTCTGTGGCAATATCTTGACATGGAAATTCCTTAAAGTTGGGCAGTGGGATTTGTCGTTCTGTGGCCACATCTTGACATGAAATTCCCTCAAGGTGTACGTGGGCTTGTGGTTCTGTGGCAAATCTTGACATGGAAATTCCCGTAAGGTGTACGTGGGGCTTTGGCGTTCTGTCGGCAACATTTGACATGGAAACTCCCTTCAAGGTGGTCCGGGGCTCTGTGGTTCTGTGGCAACATCTTGACATGGAATTCCCTTCAGGGTCCGTGGGCTTGTCGTTCTGTGTTTGCAACATCTTGAATGAAATTCCCTTCAGGTGTCCGTGGCTTTGGTGGTTCTGTGGCAACATCTTGGAATGGAATCCCTTCAAGGTGTCCGTGGGCTTTGTGGTTCTGTGTTGCAACATCTTGACATGGAAATTCCCTTCAAGGTGTCCGTGGGCTTTGTCGTTCTGTGGCAACATCTTGACATGGAAATTCCCTTCAAGGTGTCCGTGGGCTTTGTCGTTCTGTGGCAACATCTTGACATGGAAATTCCCTTCAAGGTGTCCGTGGGCTTTGTGGTTCTGTGGCAACATCTTGACATGGAAATTCCCTTCAAGGTGTCCGTGGGCTTTGTCGTTCTGTGGCAACATCTTGACATGGAAATCCCTTCAAGGTGTCCGTGGGCTTTGTGGTTCTGTGGCAACATCTTGACATGGAAGTTCCCTTCAAGGTGTTCGTGGGCTCTGTCGTTCTGTGGCAACATCTTGACATGGAAATTCCCTTCAAGGTGTCCGTGGGCTTTGTGGTTCTGTTGCAACATCTTGACATGGAAATTCCCTTCAAGGTGTCCGTGGGCTTTGTCGTTCTGTGGCAACATCTTGACATGGAAATTCCCTTCAAGGTGTCCGTGGGCTTTGTCGTTCTGTTGCAACATCTTGACATGGAAATTCCCTTCAAGGTGTCCGTGGGCTTTGTCGTTCTGTGGCAACATCTTGACATGGAAATTCCCTTCAAGGTGTCCGTGGGCTTTGTCGTTCTGTGGCAACATCTTGACATGGAAATTCCCTTCAAGGTGTCCGTGGTCTTTGTGGTTCTGTTGCCACATCTTGACATGGAAATTCCCTTCAAGGTGTCCGTGGGCTTTGTGGTTCTGTTGCCACATCTTGACATGGAAATTCCCTTCAAGGTGTCCGTGGGCTTTGTCGTTCTGTGGCAACATCTTGACATGGAAATTCCCTTCAAGGTGTCCGTGGGCTTTGTGGTTCTGTTGCAACATCTTGACATGGAAATTCCCTTCAAGGTGTCCGTGGGCTTTGTGGTTCTGTTGCACATCTTGACATGGAAATTCCCTTCAAGGTGTCCGTGGGCTTTGACATGGAAATTCCCTTCAAGGTGTCCGTGGGCTTTGTGGTTCTGTTGCCACATCTTGACATGGAATTCCCTTCTTGCCAGGTGTCCGTGGGCTTTGTCGTTCTGTTGCAGCAACATCTTGACATGGAAATTCCCTTCAAGGTGTCCGTGGGCTTTGTCGTTCTGTGGCAACATCTTGACATGGAAATTCCCTTCAAGGTGTCCGTGGGCTCTGTGGTTCTGTTGCAACATCTTGACATGGAAATTCCCTTCAAGGTGTCCGTGGGCTTTGTGGTTCTGTTGCAACATCTTGACATGGAAATTCCCTTCAAGGTGTCCGTGGGCTCTGTGGTTCTGTTGCCACATCTTGACATGGAAATTCCCTTCAAGGTGTCCGTGGGCTTTGTCGTTCTGTTGCAACATCTTGACATGGAAATTCCCTTCAAGGTGTCCGTGGGCTTTGTCGTTCTGTGGCAACATCTTGACATGGAAATTCCCTTCAAGGTGTCCGTGGGCTTTGTGGTTCTGTTGCAACATCTTGGCATGGAAGTTCCCTTCAAGGTGTCCGTGGGCTTTGTGGTTCTGTTGCAACATCTTGACATGGAAATTCCCTTCAAGGTGTCCGTGGGCTTTGTGGTTCTGTTGCAACATCTTGGCATGGAAGTTCCCTTCAAGGTGTCCGTGGGCTCTGTGGTTCTGTTGCAACATCTTGACATGGAAATTCCCTTCAAGGTGTCCGTGGGGTTCGTGGTTCTGTGGCAACATCTTGACATGAAAATTCCCTTCAAGGTGTCCGTGGGCTCTGTGGTTCTGTTGCAACATCTTGACATGGCATCTCCCTCTGTCGTTCTATTGCAACATCTTGACATGCAAAGTTCCTTCAAGCAATTTCCATGTCAATGTGTTGCCAACGACAAATCCCGGGGACACCTTGAAGGGAATTTCCATGTCAAGATGTTGTCACAGAACAGAGCCCAAGGACACCTTGAAGAGAACTTGAATGTCAAGATGTTGCAACAGAACCACAGCGCCCACGGACACCTTGAAGGGAACTTCCATGTCAAGATGTTGCCAACGACAAATCCCGCGGACACCTTGAAGGGAATTTCCATGCCAAGACGTTGCAACAGAACAACAGGGCCCAAGGACACCTTGAAGAGAACTTGAATGTCAAGATGTTGCAACAGAACTACAGGGCCCACGGACACCTTGAAGGGAATTTCCATGCCAAGATGTTGCAACAGAACGACAGAGCCCAAGGACACCATGAAGGGAATTTCCATGCCAAGATGTTGCAACAGAACAACAGAGCCCAAGGACAGCTTGAAGAGAACTTGAATGTCACGATGTTGCAACAGATCTACAGGGCCCAAGCAAACCTTGAAGGGAATTTCCATGTCAAGATGTTGCAACAGAACGACAGAGCCCACGGACACCTTGAAGGGAATTTGCATGTCAAGATGTTGCCACAGAACCACAGAGCCCAAGGAAACCTTGCAGGGAATTTCCATGTCAAGATGTTGCAACAGAACCACAGAGCCCACGGACACCTTGAAGGGAGTTTCCATGTCAAGATGTTGCAACAGAACCACAGAGCCCAAGGAAACCTTGAAGGGAATTTGTCAAGATGCTGCAACAGAACCACAAAGCCCACGGACACCTTGAAGGGAATTTCCATGTCAAGATGTTGCAAGAGAACCACAGAGCCCACGGATACCTTGAAGGGAATTTCCATGTCAAGATGTTGCTACAGAACAACAGAGCCCAAGGAAACCTTGAAGGGAATTTCCATGTCAAGATGTTGCAACAGAACCACAGAGCCCACGGACACCTTGAAGGAATTTCCATGTCAAGATGTTGCCAACGACAAATCCCGCGGACCTTGAAGAGAACTTGAATGTCAAGATGTTGCAACAGAACTACAGGGCCCACGGACACCTTGAAGGGAACTTCTATGTCAAGATGTGAACGACAGAGCGCAAGGAACCTTGAAGGGAATTTCCATGTCAAGATGTTGCAACAGAACGACAGAGCCCAAGAAACCTTGAAGGGAATTTCAATGTCAAGATGATGCCACAGAACGACAAAGCCCACGGACACCTTGAAGGGAATTTCCATGTCAAGATGTTGCCACAGAACGACAAAGCCCACGGACACCTTGAAGGGAATTTCCATGTCAAGATGTTGCCACAGAACCACAAAGCCACGGACACCTTGAAGGGAATTTCCATGTCAAGATGTTGCCACAGAACCACAGAGCCCAAGGAAACCTTGAAGGGAATTTCCATGTCAAGATGTCGCAACTGAACGACATAGCCCAAGAAAACCTTGAAGGGAATTTCCATGTCAAGATGTTGCAACAGAACCACAAAGCCCACGGACACCTTGAAGGGAATTTCCATGTCAAGATGTTGCAACAGAACCACAGAGCCCACGGACACCTTGAAAGAAATTTCCATGTCAAGATGTTGCCAACGACAAATCCCGCGGACACCTTGAAGGGAATTTCCATGCCAAGATGTAGCAACAGAACAACAGAGCGCAAGGACACCTTGAAGAGAACTTGAATGTCAAGATGTTGCAACAGAACTACAGGGCCCACGGACACCTTGAAGGGAATTTCCATGCCAAGATGTTGCAACAGAACGACAGAGCCCAAGGACACCATGAAGGGAATTTCCATGCCAAGATGTTGCAACAGAACAGCCCAAGGACAGCTTGAAGAGAACTTGAATGTCACGATGTTGCAACAGATCTACAGGGCCCAAGCAAACCTTGAAGGGAGTTTCCATGTCAAGATGTTGCAACAGAACGACAGAGCCCACGGACACCTTGAAGGGAATTTGCATGTCAAGATGTTGCCACAGAACCACAGAGCCCAAGGAAACCTTGCAGGGAATTTCCATGTCAAGATGTTGCAACAGAACCACAGAGCCCACGGACACCTTGAAGGGAATTTCCATGTCAAGATGTTGCAACAGAACCACAGAGCCCAAGGAAACCTTGAAGGGAATTTCCATGTCAAGATGCTGCAACAGAACCACAAAGCCCGCGGACACCTTGAAGGGAATTTCCATGTCAAGATGTTGCAAGAGAACCACAGAGCCCACGGACACCTTGAAGGGAATTTCCATGTCAAGATGTTGCTACAGAACAACAGAGCCCAAGGACACCTTGAAGGGAATTTCCATGTCAAGATGTTGCAACAGAACCACAGAGCCCACGGACACCTTGAAAGGAATTTCCATGTCAAGATGTTGCCAACGACACATCCCGCGGACACCTTGAAGGGAATTTCCATGCCAAGATGTTGCAACAGAACAACAGAGCCCAAGGACACCTTGAAGAGAACTTGAATGTCAAGATGTTGCAACAGAACTACAGGGCCCACGGACACCTTGAAGGGAACTTCCATGTCAAGATGTTGCAACAGAACGACAGAGTGCAAGGAACCTTGCAGGGAATTTCCATGTCAAGATGTTGCCACAGAACCACAGAGCCCAAGGAAACCATGAAGGGAATTTCCATGTCAAGATGTTGTAACAGAACGACATAGCCCAAGGACACCTTGAAGGGAATCTCCATGTCAAGATGTTGCAACAGAACCACAGAGCCCACGGACACCTTGAAAGGAATTTCCATGTCAAGATGTTGCCAACGACAAAACCCGCGGACACCATGTCAAGATGTTGCAAGAGCACCAAAGAGCCCACGGACACCTTGAAAGGAATTTCCATGTCAAGATGTTGCCAACGACAAATCCCGCGGACACCTTGAAGGGCATTTCCATGCCAAGATGTTGCTACAGAACAACAGAGCCCAAGGAAACCTTGAAGGGAATTTCCATGTCAAGATGTTGCAACAGAACCACAGAGCCCACGGACACCTTGAAGGAATTTCCATGTCAAGATGTTGCCAACGACAAATCATGCCAAGATGTTGCAACAGAACAACAGAGCCCAAGGACACCTTGAAGAGAACTTGAATGTCAAGATGTTGCAACAGAACTACGGGGCCCGCGGACACCATTAAGGGAACTTCCATGTCAAGATGTTGCAACAGAACGACAGAGCGCAAGGAACCTTGAAGGGAATTTCCATGTCAAGATGTTGCAACAGAACGACAGAGCCCAAGAAAACCTTGAAGGGAATTTCCATGTCAAGATGATGCCACAGAACGACAAAGCCCACGGACACCTTGAAGGGAATTTCCATGTCAAGATGTTGCCACAGAACGACAAAGCCCACGGACACCTTGAAAGGAATTTCCATGTCAAGATGTTGCCACAGAACCACAAAGCCACGGACACCTTGAAGGGAATTTCCATGTCAAGATGTTGCCACAGAACCACAGAGCCCAAGGAAACCTTGAAGGGAATTTCCATGTCAAGATGTGGCAACAGAACCACAGAGCCCACGGACACCTTGAAGGGAATTTCCATGTCAAGATGTTGCCACAGAACGACAAAGCCCACGGACACCTTGAAGGGAATTTCCATGTCAAGATGTTGCAACAGAACCACAAAGCCCACGGACACCTTGAAGGGAATTTCCATGTCAAGATGTTGCCACAGAACGACAAAGCCCACGGACACCTTGAAGGGAATTTCCATGTCAAGATGTCGCAACTGAACGACATAGCCCAAGAAAACCTTGAAGGGAATTTCCATGTCAAGATGTTGCAACAGAACCACAAAGCCCACGGACACCTTGAAGGGAATTTCCATGTCAAGATGTTGCAACAGAACCACAGAGCCCACGGACACCTTGAAAGGAATTTCCATGTCAAGATGTTGCCAACGACAAATCCCGCGGACACCTTGAAGGGAATTTCCATGCCAAGATGTTGCAACAGAACAACAGAGCGCAAGGACACCTTGAAGGGAATTTCCATGTCAAAATGTTGCAACAGAACTACAGGGCCCACGGACACCTTGAAGGGAACTTCCATGTCAAGATGTTGCCACAGAACAACAGAGCCCAAGGAAACCTTGAAGGGAATTTCCATGTCAAAATGTTGCAACAGAACCACAAGCCCACGGACACCTTGAAAGGAATTCCATGTCAAGATGTTGCCAACGACAAATCCCGCGGACACCCTGAAGGGAATTTCCATGCTAAGATGGTGCAACAGAACAACAGAGCCCAAGGACACCCTGAAGAGAACTTGAATGTCAAGATGTTGCAACAGAACGACATAGCCCGAGAAAACCTTGAAGGGAATTTCCATGTCAAGATGTTGCAACAGAACCACAAAGCACACGGACACCTTGAAGAGAATTTCCATGTCAAGATGTTGCAAGAAAACCACAGAGCCCACGGACACCTTGAAGGGAATTTGCATGTCAAGATATTGCAACAGAACGACATAGCCCAAGAAAACCTTGAAGGGAAATTCCATGTCAAGATGTTGCAACAGAACCACAAAGCCCACGGACACCTTGAAGGGAATTTCCATGTCAAGATGTTGCGAGAGAACCACAGAGCCCACGGACACCTTGAAAGGAATTTCCATGTCAAGATGTTGCCAACGACAAATCCCGCGGACACCATGAAGGGAATTTCCATGCCAAGATGTTGCAACAGAACAACAGAGCCCAAGGACACCTTGAAGAGAACTTGGATGTCAAGATGTTGCAACAGAACTACAGGGCCCACGGACACCTTGAAGGGAACTTCCATGTCAAGATGTTGCAACAGAACGACAGAGCGCAAGGAACCTTGAAGGGAATTTCCATGTCAAGATGTTGCAACAGAACGACAGAGCCCACGGACACCTTGAAGGGAATTTCCATGTCAAGATGTTGCCACAGAACCACAGAGCCCAAGGAAACCATGAAGGGAATTTCCATGTCAAGATGTTGCAACAGGACGACATAGCCCAATAATTCCTTGAAGGGAATTTCCATGTCAAGATGTTACAACAGAACCACAAAGCCCACGGACACCTTGAAGGGAATTTCCATGTCAAGATGTTGCAACAGAACCACAGAGCCCACGGACACCTTGAAGGGAATTGCCATGTCAAGATGTTGCCAACGACAAATCCCGCGGACAACTTGAAGGGAATTTCCATGCCAAGATGTTGCCAACGACAAATCCCGCGGACACCTTGAAGGGAATTTCCATGCCAAGATGTTGCTACAGAACAACAGAGCCCAAGCACACCTTGAAGGGAATTTCCATGTCAAGATGTTGCCAACGACAAATCCCGCGGACACCATGAAGGGAAGTTCCATGCCAAGATGTTGCAACAGAACAACAGAGCCCAAGGACACCTTAAAGAGAACTTGAATGTCAAGATGTTGCAACAGAACTACAGGGCACACGGACACCTTGAAGGGAACTTCCATGTCAAGATGTTGCAACAGAACGACAGAGCCCACGGACACCTTGAAAGGAATTCCATGTCAAGATGTTGCCAACGACAAATCCCGCGGACACCTTGAAGGGAATTTCCATGCTAAGATGGTGCAACAGAACAACAGAGCCCAAGGACACCCTGAAGAGAACTTGAATGTCAAGATGTTGCAACAGAACTACAGGGCCCACGGACACCTTGAAGGGAGTTTCCATGTCAAGATGTTGCAACAGAACGACAGAGCCCACGGACACCTTGAAGGGAATTTCCATGTCAAGATGTTGCCACAGAACCACAGAGCCCAAGGAAACCATGAAGGGAATTTCCATGTCAAGATGTTGCAACAGAACGACATAGCCCAAGGACACCTTGAAGGGAATTTCCATGTCAAGATGTTGCAACAGAACCACAGAGCCCACGGACACCTTGAAAGGAATTTCCATGTCAAGATGTTGCCAACGACAAAACCCGCGGACACCATGTCAAGATGTTGCAAGAGCACCAAAGAGCCCACGGACACCTTGAAAGGAATTTCCATGTCAAGATGTTGCCAACGACAAATCCCGCGGACACCTTGAAGGGCATTTCCATGCCAAGATGTTGCTACAGAACAACAGAGCCCAAGGAAACCTTGAAGGGAATTTCCATGTCAAGATGTTGCAACAGAACCACAGAGCCCACGGACACCTTGAAGGAATTTCCATGTCAAGATGTTGCCAACGACAAATCATGCCAAGATGTTGCAACAGAACAACAGAGCCCAAGGACACCTTGAAGAGAACTTGAATGTCAAGATGTTGCAACAGAACTACGGGGCCCACGGACACCTTGAAGGGAACTTCCATGTCAAGATGTTGCAACAGAACGACAGAGCGCAAGGAACCTTGAAGGGAATTTCCATGTCAAGATGTTGCAACAGAACGACAGAGCCCAAGAAAACCTTGAAGGGAATTTCCATGTCAAGATGATGCCACAGAACGACAAAGCCCACGGACACCTTGAAGGGAATTTCCATGTCAAGATGTTGCCACAGAACGACAAAGCCCACGGACACCTTGAAGGGAATTTCCATGTCAAGATGTTGCCACAGAACCACAAAGCCACGGACACCTTGAAGGGAATTTCCATGTCAAGATGTTGCCACAGAACCACAGAGCCCAAGGAAACCTTGAAGGGAATTTCCATGTCAAGATGTCGCAACTGAACGACATAGCCCAAGAAAACCTTGAAGGGAATTTCCATGTCAAGATGTTGCAACAGAACCACAAAGCCCACGGACACCTTGAAGGGAATTTCCATGTCAAGATGTTGCAACAGAACCACAGAGCCCACGGACACCTTGAAAGGAATTTCCATGTCAAGATGTTGCCAACGACACATCCCGCGGACACCTTGAAGGGAATTTCCATGCCAAGATGTTGCAACAGAACAACAGAGCGCAAGGACACCTTGAAGGGAATTTCCATGTCAAGATGTTGCAACAGAACTACAGGGCCCACGGACACCTTGAAGGGAACTTCAATGTCAAGATGTTGCCACAGAACAACAGAGCCCAAGGAAACCTTGAAGGGAATGTCCATGTCAAAATGTTGCAACAGAACCACAAGCCCACGGACACCTTGAAAGGAATTCCATGTCAAGATGTTGCCAACGACAAATCCCGCGGACACCCTGAAGGGAATTTCCATGCTAAGATGGTGCAACAGAACAACAGAGCCCAAGGACACCCTGAAGAGAACTTGAATGTCAAGATGTTGCAACAGAACGACATAGCCCGAGAAAACCTTGAAGGGAATTTCCATGTCAAGATGTTGCAACAGAACCACAAAGCACACGGACACCTTGAAGAGAATTTCCATGTCAAGATGTTGCAAGAAAACCACAGAGCCCACGGACACCTTGAAGGGAATTTGCATGTCAAGATATTGCAACAGAACGACATAGCCCAAGAAAACCTTGAAGGGAAATTCCATGTCAAGATGTTGCAACAGAACCACAAAGCCCACGGACACCTTGAAAGGAATTTCCATGTCAAGATGTTGCGAGAGAACCACAGAGCCCACGGACACCTTGAAAGGAATTTCCATGTCAAGATGTTGCCAACGACAAATCCCGCGGACACCATGAAGGGAATTTCCATGCCAAGATGTTGCAACAGAACAACAGAGCCCAAGGACACCTTGAAGAGAACTTGGATGTCAAGATGTTGCAACAGAACTACAGGGCCCACGGACACCTTGAAGGGAGTTTCCATGTCAAGATGTTGCAACAGAACGACAGAGCGCAAGGAACCTTGAAGGGAATTTCCATGTCAAGATGTTGCAACAGAACGACAGAGCCCACGGACACCTTGAAGGGAATTTCCATGTCAAGATGTTGCCACAGAACCACAGAGCCCAAGGAAACCATGAAGGGAATTTCCATGTCAAGATGTTGCAACAGGACGACATAGCCCAATAATTCCTTGAAGGGAATTTCCATGTCAAGATGTTACAACAGAACCACAAAGCCCACGGACACCTTGAAGGGAATTTCCATGTCAAGATGTTGCAACAGAACCACAGAGCCCACGGACACCTTGAAGGGAATTGCCATGTCAAGATGTTGCCAACGACAAATCCCGCGGACAACTTGAAGGGAATTTCCATGCCAAGATGTTGCCAACGACAAATCCCGCGGACACCTTGAAGGGAATTTCCATGCCAAGATGTTGCTACAGAACAACAGAGCCCAAGCACACCTTGAAGGGAATTTCCATGTCAAGATGTTGCCAACGACAAATCCCGCGGACACCATGAAGGGAAGTTCCATGCCAAGATGTTGCAACAGAACAACAGAGCCCAAGGACACCTTAAAGAGAACTTGAATGTCAAGATGTTGCAACAGAACTACAGGGCCCACGGACACCTTGAAGGGAACTTCCATGTCAAGATGTTGCAACAGAACGACAGAGCCCACGGACACCTTGAAAGGAATTCCATGTCAAGATGTTGCCAACGACAAATCCCGCGGACACCTTGAGGGAATTTCCATGCTAAGATGGTGCAACAGAACAACAGAGCCCAAGGACACCCTGAAGAGAACCTGAATGTCAAGAGGTTGCAACAGAACTACAGGGCCCACGGACACCTTGAAGGGAGTTTCCATGTCAAGATGTTGCAACAGAACGACAGAGCCCACGGACACCTTGAAGGGAATTTGCATGTCAAGATGTTGCCACAGAACCACAGAGCCCAAGGAAACCTTGAAGGGAATTTCCATGTCAAGATGTTGCAACAGAACGACATAGCCCAAGAAAACCTTGAAGGGAATTTCCATGTCAAGATGTTGCCACAGAACCACGGAGCCCACGGACACCTTGAAGGGAATTTCCATGTCAAGATGTTGCAACAGAACCACAGAGCCCACGGACACCTTGAAAGGAATTTCCATGTCAAGATGTTGCCAACGACAAATCCCGCGGACACCTTGAAGGGAATTTCCATGCCGAGATGTTGCAACAGAACAACAGAGCCCAAGTACACCTTGAAGAGAATGTCAAGATGTTGCAACAGAACCACAAAGCCCACGGACACCTTGAAGGGAATTTCCATGTCAAGATGTTGCCACAGAACCACGGAGCCCACGGACACCTTGAAGGGAATTTCCATGTCAAGATGTTGCAACAGAACCACAGAGCCCACGGACACCTTGAAAGGAATTTCCATGTCAAGATGTTGCCAACGACAAATCCCGCGGACACCCTGAAGGGAATTTCCATGCTAAGATGGTGCAACAGAACAACAGAGCCCAAGGACACCCTGAAGAGAACTTGAATGTCAAGATGTTGCAACAGAACGACATAGCCCAAGAAAACCTTGAAGGGAATTTCCATGTCAAGATGTTGCAACAGAACCACAAAGCACACGGACACCTTGAAGGGAATTTCCATGTCAAGATGTTGCAAGAGAACCACAGAGCCCACGGACACCTTGAAGGGAATTTGCATGTCAAGATATTGCAACAGAACGACATAGCCCAAGAAAACCTTGAAGGGAAATTCCATGTCAAGATGTTGCAACAGAACCACAAAGCCCACGGACACCTTGAAGGGAATTTCCATGTCAAGATGTTGCGAGACAACCACAGAGCCCACGGACACCTTGAAAGGAACTTCCATGTCAAGATGTTGCCAACGACAAATCCCGCGGACACCATGAAGGGAATTTCCATGCCAAGATGTTGCAACAGAACAACAGAGCCCAAGGACACCTTGAAGAGAACTTGGATGTCAAGATGTTGCAACAGAACTACAGGGCCCACGGACACCTTGAAGGGAACTTCCATGTCAAGATGTTGCAACAGAACGACAGAGCGCAAGGAACCTTGAAGGGAATTTCCATGTCAAGATGTTGCAACAGAACGACAGAGCCCACGGACACCTTGAAGGGAATTTGCATGTCAAGATGTTGCCACAGAACCTCAGAGCCCAAGGAAACCTTGAAGAGAATTCCATGTCAAGATGTCGCAACCGGACACCTTGAAGGGAATTGCCATGTCAAGATGTTGCCAACGACAAATCCCGCGGACACCTTGAAGGGAATTTCCATGCCAAGATGTTGCCAACGACAAATCCCGCGGACACCTTGAAGGGAATTTCCATGCCAAGATGTTGCTACAGAACAACAGAGCCCAAGCACACCTTGAAGGGAATTTCCATGTCAAGATGTTGCCAACGACAAATCCCGCGGACACCATGAAGGGAAGTTCCATGCCAAGATGTTGCAACAGAACAACAGAGCCCAAGGACACCTTAAAGAGAACTTGAATGTCAAGATGTTGCAACAGAACTACAGGGCCCACGGACACCTTGAAGGGAACTTCCATGTCAAGATGTTGCAACAGAACGACAGAGCGCAAGGAACCTTGAAAGGAATTCCATGTCAAGATGTTGCCAACGACAAATCCCGCGGACACCTTGAAGGGAATTTCCATGCTAAGATGGTGCAACAGAACAGAGCCCAAGGACACCCTGAAGAGAACTTGAATGTCAAGATGTTGCAACAGAACTACAGGGCCCACGGACACCTTGAAGGGAACTTCCATGTCAAGATGTTGCAACAGAACGACAGAGCCCACGGACACCTTGAAGGGAATTTGCATGTCAAGATGTTGCCACAGAACCACAGAGCCCAAGGAAACCTCGAAGGGAATTTCCATGCCAAGATGTTGCTACAGAACAACAGAGCCCAAGCACACCTTGAAGGGACTTTCCATGTCAAGATGTTGCCAACGACAAATCCCGCGGACACCATGAAGGGAAGTTCCATGCCAAGATGTTGCAACAGAACAACAGAGCCCAAGGACACCTTAAAGAGAACTTGAATGTCAAGATGTTGCAACAGAACTACAGGGCCCACGGACACCTTGAAGGGAACTTCCATGTCAAGATGTTGCAACAGAACGACAGAGCCCACGGACACCTTGAAAGGAATTCCATGTCAAGATGTTGCCAACGACAAATCCCGCGGACACCTTGAAGGGAATTTCCATGCTAAGATGGTGCAACAGAACAACAGAGCCCAAGGACACCCTGAAGAGAACTTGAATGTCAAGATGTTGCAACAGAACTACAGGGCCCACGGACACCTTGAAGGGAGTTTCCATGTCAAGATGTTGCAACAGAACGACAGAGCCCACGGACACCTTGAAGGGAATTTGCATGTCAAGATGTTGCCACAGAACCACAGAGCCCAAGGAAACCTTGAAGGGAATTTCCATGTCAAGATGTTGCAACAGAACGACATAGCCCAAGAAAACCTTGAAGGGAATTTCCATGTCAAGATGTTGCCACAGAACCACGGAGCCCATGGACACCTTGAAGGGAATTTCCATGTCAAGATGTTGCAACAGAACCACAGAGCCCACGGACACCTTGAAAGGAATTTCCATGTCAAGATGTTGCCAACGACAAATCCCGCGGACACCTTGAAGGGAATTTCCATGTCAAGATGTTGCCACAGAACCACGGAGCCCACGGACACCTTGAAGGGAATTTCCATGTCAAGATGTTGCAACAGAACCACAAAGCCCACGGACACCTTGAAGGGAATTTCCATGTCAAGATGTTGCCACAGAACCACAGAGCCCAAGGAAACCTTGAAGGGAATTTCCATGTCAAGATGTCGCAACTGAACGACAGAGCCCAAGGAAACCTTGAAGGGAATTTCCATGTCAAAATGTTGCAACAGAACCACAAGCCCACGGACACCTTGAAAGGAATTCCATGTCAAGATGTTGCCAACGACAAATCCCGCGGACACCCTGAAGGGAATTTCCATGCTAAGATGGTGCAACAGAACAACAGAGCCCAAGGACACCCTGAAGAGAACTTGAATGTCAAGATGTTGCAACAGAACGACATAGCCCGAGAAAACCTTGAAGGGAATTTCCATGTCAAGATGTTGCAACAGAACCACAAAGCACACGGACACCTTGAAGGGAATTTCCATGTCAAGATGTTGCAAGAGAACCACAGAGCCCACGGACACCTTGAAGGGAATTTGCATGTCAAGATATTGCAACAGAACGACATAGCCCAAGAAAACCTTGAAGGGAAATTCCATGTCAAGATGTTGCAACAGAACCACAAAGCCCACGGACACCTTGAAGGGAATTTCCATGTCAAGATGTTGCGAGAGAACCACAGAGCCCACGGACACCTTGAAAGGAATTTCCATGTCAAGATGTTGCCAACGACAAATCCCGCGGACACCATGAAGGGAATTTCCATGCCAAGATGTTGCAACAGAACAACAGAGCCCAAGGACACCTTGAAGAGAACTTGGATGTCAAGATGTTGCAACAGAACTACAGGGCCCACGGACACCTTGAAGGGAACTTCCATGTCAAGATGTTGCAACAGAACGACAGAGCGCAAGGAACCTTGAAGGGAATTTCCATGTCAAGATGTTGCAACAGAACGACAGAGCCCACGGACACCTTGAAGGGAATTTGCATGTCAAGATGTTGCCACAGAACCTCAGAGCCCAAGGAAACCTTGAAGAGAATTCCATGTCAAGATGTCGCAACAGGACGACATAGCCCAATAATTCCTTGAAGGGAATTTCCATGTCAAGATGTTACAACAGAACCACAAAGCCCACGGACACCTTGAAGGGAATTTCCATGTCAAGATGTTGCAACAGAACCACAGAGCCCACGGACACCTTGAAGGGAATTGCCATGTCAAGATGTTGCCAACGACAAATCCCGCGGACACCTTGAAGGGAAATTCCATGCCAAGATGTTGCCAACGACAAATCCCGCGGACACCTTGAAGGGAATTTCCATGCCAAGATGTTGCTACAGAACAACAGAGCCCAAGCACACCTTGAAGGGAATTTCCATGTCAAGATGTTGCCAACGACAAATCCCGCGGACACCATGAAGGGAAGTTCCATGCCAAGATGTTGCAACAGAACAACAGAGCCCAAGGACACCTTAAAGAGAACTTGAATGTCAAGATGTTGCAACAGAACTACAGGGCCCACGGACACCTTGAAGGGAACTTCCATGTCAAGATGTTGCAACAGAACGACAGAGCCCACGGACACCTTGAAAGGAATTCCATGTCAAGATGTTGCCAACGACAAATCCCGCGGACACCTTGAAGGGAATTTCCATGCTAAGATGGTGCAACAGAACAACAGAGCCCAAGGACACCCTGAAGAGAACTTGAATGTCAAGATGTTGCAACAGAACTACAGGGCCCACGGACACCTTGAAGGGAACTTCCATGTCAAGATGTTGCAACAGAACGACAGAGCCCACGGACACCTTGAAGGGAATTTGCATGTCAAGATGTTGCCACAGAACCACAGAGCCCAAGGAAACCTCGAAGGGAATTTCCATGTCAAGATGTTGCAACAGAACGACATAGCCCAAGAAAACCTTGAAGGGAATTTCCATGTCAAGATGTTGCAACAGAACCACAAAGCCCACGGACACCTTGAAGGGTATTTCCATGTCAAGATGTTGCAACAGAACCACAGAGCCCACGGACACCTTGAAAGGAACTTCCATGTCAAGATGTTGCCAACGACAAATCCCGCGGACACCTTGAAGGGAATTTCCATGCCGAGATGTTGCAACAGAACAACAGAGCCCAAGGACACCTTGAAGAGAATGTCAAGATGTTGCAACAGAACCACAAAGCCCACGGACACTTTGAAGGGAATTTCCATGTCAAGATGTTGCCACAGAACCACAGAGCCCAAGGAAACCTTGAAGGGAATTTCCATGTCAAGATGTCGCAACTGAACGACATAGCCCAAGAAAACCTTGAAGGGAATTTCCATGTCAAGATGTTGCAACAGAACCACAAAGCCCACGGACACCTTGAAGGGAAAATCCATGTCAAGATGTTGCAAGAGAACCACAGAGCCCACGGACACCTTGAAGGGAATTTGCATGTCAAGATATTGCAACAGAACGACATAGCCCAAGAAAACCTTGAAGGGAAATTCCATGTCAAGATGTTGCAACAGAACCACAAAGCCCACGGACACCTTGAAAGGAATTTCCATGTCAAGATGTTGCGAGAGAACCACAGAGCCCACGGACACCTTGAAAGGAATTTCCATGTCAAGATGTTGCCAACGACAAATCCCGCGGACACCATGAAGGGAATTTCCATGCCAAGATGTTGCAACAGAACAACAGAGCCCAAGGACACCTTGAAGAGAACTTGGATGTCAAGATGTTGCAACAGAACTACAGGGCCCACGGACACCTTGAAGGGAACTTCCATGTTAAGATGTTGCAACAGAACGACAGAGCGCAAGGAACCTTGAAGGGAATTTCCATGTCAAGATGTCGCAACAGGACAACATAGCCCAAGAAAACCTTGAAGGGAATTTCCATGTCAAGATGTTACAACAGAACCACAAAGCCCACGGACACCTTGAAGGGAATTTCCATGTCAAGATGTTGCAACAGAACCACAGAGCCCACGGACACCTTGAAGGGAATTGCCATGTCAAGATGTTGCCAACGACAAACCCCGCGGACACCTTGAAGGGAATTTCCATGCCAAGATGTTGCCAACGACAAATCCCGCGGACACCTTGAAGGGAATTTCCATGCCAAGATGTTGCTACAGAACAACAGAGCCCAAGCACACCTTGAAGGGAATTTCCATGTCAAGATGTTGCCAACGACAAATCCCGCGGACACCATGAAGGGAAGTTCCATGCCAAGATGTTGCAACAGAACAACAGAGCCCAAGGACACCTTAAAGAGAACTTGAATGTCAAGATGTTGCAACAGAACTACAGGGCCCACGGACACCTTGAAGGGAACTTCCGTGTCAAGATGTTGCAACAGAACGACAGAGCCCAAGCACACCTTGAAAGGAATTCCATGTCAAGATGTTGCCAACGACAAATCCCGCGGACACCTTGAAGGGAATTTCCTTGCTAAGATGGTGCAACAGAACAACAGAGCCCAAGGACACCCTGAAGAGAACTTGAATGTCAAGATGTTGCAACAGAACTACAGGGCCCACGGACACCTTGAAGGGAGTTTCCATGTCAAGATGTTGCAACAGAACGACAGAGCCCACGGACACCTTGAAGGGAATTTGCATGTCAAGATGTTGCCACAGAACCACAGAGCCCAAGGAAACCTTGAAGGGAATTTCCATGTCAAGATGTTGCAACAGAACGACATAGCCCAAGAAAACCTTGAAGGGAAGTTCCATGTCAAGATGTTGCCACAGAACCACGGAGCCCACGGACACCTTGAATGGAATTTCCATGTCAAGATGTTGCAACAGAACCACAAAGCCCACGGACACCTTGAAGGGAATTTGCATGTCAAGATGTTGCCACAGAACGACAAAGCCCACGGACACCTTGAAGGGAATTTCCATGTCAAGATGTTGCCACAGAACCACGGAGCCCAAGGAAACCTTGAAGGGAATTTCCATGTCAAGATGTTGCAACAGAACCACAGAGCCCACGGACACCTTGAAAGGAATCTCCATGTCAAGATGTTGCCAACGACAAATCCCGCGGACACCTTGAAGGGAATTTCCATGCCGAGATGTTGCAACAGAACAACAGAGCCCAAGGACACCTTGAAGAGAATGTCAAGATGTTGCAACAGAACCACAAAGCCCACGGACACCTTGAAGGGAATTTCCATGTCAAGATGTTGCCACAGAACCACAGAGCCCAAGGAAACCTTGAAGGGAATTTCCATGTCAAGATGTCGCAACTGAACGACATAGCCCAAGAAAACCTTGAAGGGAATTTCCATGTCAAGATGTTGCAACAGAACCACAAAGCCCACGGACACCTTGAAGGGAATTTCCATGTCAAGATGTTGCAAGAGAACCACAGAGCCCACGGACACCTTGAAGGGAACTTCCATGTCAAGATGTTGCCAACGACAAATCCCGCGGACACCTTGAAGGGAATTTCCATGCCAAGATGTTGCAACAGAACAACAGAGCCCAAGGACACCTTGAAGAGAACTTGAATGTCACGATGTTGCAACAGATCTACAGGGCCCAAGCAAACCTTGAAGGGAATTTCCATGTCAAGATGTTGCAACAGAACGAGAGAGCGCAAGGAACCTTGCAAGGAATTTCCATCTCAAGATGTTGCAACAGAACGACAGAGCCCACGGACACCGTGAAGGGAATTTGCATGTCAAGATGTTGCCACAGAACCACAGAGCCCAAGGAACCTTGAAGGGAATTTCCATGTCAAGATGTTGCCAACGACAAATCCCGCGGACACCTTGAAGGGAATTTCCATGCTAAGATGGTGCAACAGAACAACAGAGCCCAAGGACACCCTGAAGAGAACTTGAATGTCAAGATGTTGCAACAGAACTACAGGGCCCAAGAAACCTTGAAGGGAATTTCCATGTCAAGATGTTGCAACAGAACGACAGAGCCCACGGACACCTTGAAGGGAATTTGCATGTCAAGATGTTGCCACAGAACCACAGAGCCCAAGGAAACCTTGAAGGGAATTTCCATGTCAAGATGTTGCAACAGAACGACATAGCCCAAGAAAACCTTGAAGGGAATTTCCATGTCAAGATGTTGCAACAGAACCACAAAGCACACGGACACCTTGAAGGGAATTTCCATGTCAAGATGTTGCAAGAGAACCACAGAGCCCACGGACACCTTGAAGGGAATTTGCATGTCAAGATATTGCAACAGAACGACATACCCCAAGAAAACCTTGAAGGGAATTTCCATGTCAAGATGTTGCAACAGAACCACAAAGCCCACGGACACCTTGAAGGGAATTTCCATGTCAAGATGTTGCAAGAGAACCACAGAGCCCACGGACACCTTGAAAGGAATTTCTATGTCAAGATGTTGCCAACGACAAATCCCGCGGACACCTTGAAGGGAATTTCCATGCCAAGATGTTGCAACAGAACAACAGAGCCCAAGGACACCTTGAAGAGAACTTGAATGTCAAGATGTTGCAACAGAACTACAGGGCCCACGGACACCTTGAAGGGAACTTCCATGTCAAGATGTCGCAACAGAACGACAGAGCGCAAGGAACCTTGAAGGGAATTTCCATGTCAAGATGTTGCAACAGAACGACAGAGCCCACGGACACCTTGAAGGGAATTTGCATGTCAAGATGTTGCCACAGAACCACAGAGCCCAAGGAAACCTTGAAGGGAATTTCCATGTCGAGATGTCGCAACAGGACGACATAGCCCAATAAATCCTTGAAGGGAACTTCCATGTCAAGATGTTACAACAGAACCACAAAGCCCACGGACACCTTGAAGGGAATTTCCATGTCAAGATGTTGCAACAGAACCACAAAGCCCACGGACATCTTGAAGGGGGACTTGCCATGTCAAGATGTTGCCAACGACAAATCCCGCGGACACCTTGAAGGAAATGTCCATGCCAAGATGTTGCCAACGACAAATCCCGCGGACACCTTGAAGGGAATTTCCATGCCAAGATGTTGCTACAGAACAACAGAGCCCAAGCACACCTTGAAGGGAATTTCCTTGTCAAGATGTTGCCAACGACACATCCCGCGGACACCTTGAAGGGAATTTCCATGTCAAGATGTTGCAACAGAACGACAGAGCCCACGGACACCTTGAAGGGAATGTGCATGTCAAGATGTTGCCACAGAACCACAGAGCCCAAGGAAACCTTGAAGGGAATTTCCATGTCAAGATGTTGCAACAGAACCACAAAGCCCACGGACACCTTGAAGGGAATTTCCATGTCAAGATGTTGCAAGAGAACCACAGAGCCCACGGACACCTTGAAGGGAATTTCCATGTCAAGATGTTGCCAACGACAAATCCCGCGGACACCTTGAAGGGAATTTCCATGTCAAGATGTTGCTACAGAACAACAGAGCCCAAGGACACCTTGAAGGGAATTTGCATGTCAAGATGTTGCAACAGAACGACAGAGCCCACGGACACCTTGAAAGGAATTTCCATGTCAAGATGTAGCCAACGACAAATCCCGCGGACACCATGAAGGAACTTCCATGCCAAGATGTTGCAACAGAACAACAGAGCCCAAGGACACCTTTAAGAGAACCTGAATGTCAAGATGTTGCAACAGAACTACGGGGCCCACGGACACCTTGAAGGGAACTTCCATGTCAAAATGTTGCAACAGAACGACAGAGCGCAAGGAACCTTGAAAGGAATTTCCATGTCAAGATTTTGCAACAGAACGACAGAGCCCACGGACACCTTGAAGGGAATTTGCATGTCAAGATATTGCCACAGAACCACAGAGCCCAAGGAAACCTTGAAGGGAATTTCCATGTCAAGATGCTGCAGCAGAACGACATAGCCTGACATAGCCCAATAAAACCTTGAAGGGAGTTTCCATGTCAAGATGTTGCAGCAGAACTACAGGGCCCACGGACACCTTGAAGGGAATTTCCATGTCAAGATGTTGCAACAGAACGACAGAGCGCAAGGAACCTTGAAGGGAATTTCCATGTCAAGATGTTGCAACAGAACGACAGAGCCCACGGACACCTTGAAGGGAATTTGCATGTCAAGATGTTGCCACAGAACCACGGAGCCCACGGACACCTTGAAGGGACTTTCCATGTCAAGATGTTGCCAACGACAAATCCCGCGGACACCTTGAAGGGAATTTCCATGCCAAGATGTTGCAACAGAACAACAGAGCCCAAGGACACCTTGAAGAGAACTTGAATGTCAAGATGTTAACAGAACTACAGGGCCCACGGACACCTTGAAGGGAACTTCCATGTCAAGATGTTGCAACAGAACGACAGAGCGCAAGGAACCTTGAAGGGAATTTCCATGTCAAGATGTTGCAACAGAACGACAGAGCCCACGGACACCTTGAAGGGAATTTCCATGTCAAGATGTTGCCAACGACAAATCCCGCGGACACCTTGAAGGGACTTTCCATGCCAAGATGTTGCCAACGACAAATCCCGCGGACACCTTGAAGGGAATTTCCATGCCAAGATGTTGCTACAGAACAACAGAGCCCAAGGACCCCTTGAAGGGAATTTCCATGTCAAGATGTTGCAACAGAACCACAGAGCCCACGGACACCTTGAAAGGAATTTCCATGTCAAGATGTTGCCAACGACAAATCCCGCGGACACCCTCAAGGGAGTTTCCATGCCAAGATGGTGCAACAGAACAACAGAGCCCAAGGACACCTTGAAGAGAACTTGAATGTCAAGATGTTCCAACAGAACCACAGAGCCCACGGACACCTTGAAAGGAATTTCCATGTCAAGATGTTGCCAACGACAAATCCCGCGGACACCATGAAGGGAACTTCCATGCCAAGATGTTGCAACAGAACAACAGAGCCCAAGGACACCTTTAAGAGAACTTGAATGTCAAGATGTTGCAACAGAACGACAGAGCCCACGGACACCTTGAAGGGAATTTGCATGTCAAGATGTTGCCACAGAACCACAGAGCCCAAGGAAACCTTGAAGGGAATTTCCATGTCAAGATGTTGCAACAGAACGACATAGCCCAAGAAAACCTTGAAGGGAATTTCCATGTCAAGATGCTGCCACAGAACCACGGAGCCCACGGACACCTTGAAGGGAATTTCCATGTCAAGATGTTGCAACAGAACCACAGAGCCCACGGACACCTTGAAAGGAATTTCCATGTCAAGATGTTGCCAACGACAAATCCCGCGGACACCTTGAAGGGAATTTCCATGCCGAGATGTTGCAACAGAACAACAGAGCCCAAGGACACCTTGAAGAGAATGTCAAGATGTTGCAACAGAACCACAAAGCCCACGGACACTTTGAAGGGAATTTCCATGTCAAGATGTTGCCACAGAACCACAGAGCCCAAGGAAACCTTGAAGGGAATTTCCATGTCAAGATGTCGCAACTGAACGACATAGCCCAAGAAAACCTTGAAGGGAATTTCCATGTCAAGATGTTGCAACAGAACCACAAAGCACACGGACACCTTGAAGGGAATTTCCATGTCAAGATGTTGCAAGAGAACCACAGAGCCCACGGACACCTTGAATTTGCATGTCAAGATATTGCAACAGAACGACATACCCCAAGAAAACCTTGAAGGGAATTTCCATGTCAAGATGTTGCAACAGAACCACAAAGCCCACGGACACCTTGAAGGGAATTTCCATGTCAAGATGTTGCAAGAGAACCACAGAGCCCACGGACACCTTGAAAGGAATTCCATGTCAAGATGTTGCCAACGACAAATCCCGCGGACACCTTGAAGGGAATTTCCTTGCTAAGATGGTGCAACAGAACAACAGAGCCCAAGGACACCCTGAAGAGAACTTGAATGTCAAGATGTTGCAACAGAACTACAGGGCCCACGGACACCTTGAAGGGAGTTTCCATGTCAAGATGTTGCAACAGAACGACAGAGCCCACGGACACCTTGAAGGGAATTTGCATGTCAAGATGTTGCCACAGAACCACAGAGCCCAAGGAAACCTTGAAGGGAATTTCCATGTCAAGATGTTGCAACAGAACGACATAGCCCAAGAAAACCTTGAAGGGAATTTCCATGTCAAGATGTTGCCACAGAACCACGGAGCCCACGGACACCTTGAAGGGAATTTCCATGTCAAGATGTTGCAACAGAACCACAGAGCCCACGGACACCTTGAAAGGAATTTCCATGTCAAGATGTTGCCAACGACAAATCCCGCGGACACCTTGAAGGGAATTTCCATGCCGAGATGTTGCAACAGAACAACAGAGCCCAAGGACACCTTGAAGAGAATGTCAAGATGTTGCAACAGAACCACAAAGCCCACGGACACTTTGAAGGGAATTTCCATGTCAAGATGTTGCCACAGAACCACAGAGCCCAAGGAAACCTTGAAGGGAATTTCCATGTCAAGATGTCGCAACTGAACGACATAGCCCAAGAAAACCTTGAAGGGAATTTCCATGTCAAGATGTTGCAACAGAACCACAAAGCCCACGGACACCTTGAAGGGAATTTCCATGTCAAGATGTTGCAAGAGAACCACAGAGCCCACGGACACCATGAAGGGAACTTCCATGTCAAGATGTTGCCAACGACAAATCCCGCGGACACCTTGAAGGGAATTTCCATGCCAAGATGTTGCAACAGAACAACAGAGCCCAAGGACACCTTGAAGAGAACTTGAATGTCACGATGTTGCAACAGATCTACAGGGCCCAAGCAAACCTTGAAGGGAATTTCCATGTCAAGATGTTGCAACAGAACGAGAGAGCGCAAGGAACCTTGCAAGGAATTTCCATCTCAAGATGTTGCAACAGAACGACAGAGCCCACGGACACCGTGAAGGGAATTTGCATGTCAAGATGTTGCCACAGAACCACAGAGCCCAAGGAACCTTGAAGGGAATTTCCATGCCAAGATGTTGCAACAGAACAACAGAGCCCAAGGACACCTTGAAGAGAACTTGAATGTCACGATGTTGCAACAGATCAACAGGGCCCAAGCAAACCTTGAAGGGAATTTCCATGTCAAGATGTTGCAACAGAACGAGAGAGCGCAAGGAACCTTGCAAGGAATTTCCATCTCAAGATGTTGCAACAGAACGACAGAGCCCACGGACACCTTGAAGGGAATTTGCATGTCAAGATTTGCCACAGAACCACAGAGCCCAAGGAAACCTTGAAGGGAATTTCCATGTCAAGATGTTGCAACAGAACGACATAGCCCAAGAAAACCTTGAAGGGAATTTCCATGTCAAGATGTTGCAACAGAACCACAAAGCACACGGACACCTTGAAGGGAATTTCCATGTCAAGATGTTGCAAGAGAACCACAGAGCCCACGGACACCTTGAAGGGAATTTGCATGTCAAGATATTGCAACAGAACGACATACCCCAAGAAAACCTTGAAGGGAATTTCCATGTCAAGATGTTGCAACAGAACCACAAAGCACACGGACACCTTGAAGGGAATTTCCATGTCAAGATGTTGCAAGAGAACCACAGAGCCCACGGACACCTTGAAAGGAATTTCCATGTCAAGATGTTGCCAACGACAAATCCCGCGGACACCTTGAAGGGAGTTTCCATGCCAAGATGTTGCAACAGAACAACAGAGCCCAAGGACACCTTGAAGAGAACTTGAATGTCAAGATGTTGCAACAGAACTACAGGGCCCACGGACACCTTGAAGGGAACTTCCATGTCAAGATGTCGCAACAGAACGACAGAGCGCAAGGAACCTTGAAGGGATTTCCATGTCAAGATGTTGCAACAGAACGACAGAGCCCACGGACACCTTGAAGGGAATTTGCATGTCAAGATGTTGCCACAGAACCACAGAGCCCAAGGAAACCTTGAAGGGAATTTCCATGTCGAGATGTCGCAACAGGACGACATAGCCCAATAAATCCTTGAAGGGGACTTCCATGTCAAGATGTTACAACAGAACCACAAAGCCCACGGACACCTTGAAGGGAATTTCCATGTCAAGATGTTGCAACAGAACCACAGAGCCCACGGACACCTTGAAGGGAATTGCCATGTCAAGATGTTGCCAACGACAAATCCCGCGGACACCTTGAAGGGAATTTCCATGCCAAAATGTTGCCAACGACAAATCCCGCGGACACCTTGAAGGGAATTTCCATGCCAAGATGTTGCTACAGAACAACAGAGCCCAAGCACACCTTGAAGGGAATTTCCATGTCAAGATGTTGCCAACGACAAATCCCGCGGACACCTTGAAGGGAATTTGCATGCCAAGATGTTGCAACAGAACAACAGAGCCCAAGGACACCTTAAAGAGAACTTGAATGTCAAGATGTTGCAACAGAACTACAGGGCCCACGGACACCTTGAAGGGAACTTCCATGTCAAGATGTTGCAACAGAACGACAGAGCGCAAGGAACCTTGAAAGGAATTTCCATGTCAAGATGTTGCAACAGAACGACAGAGCCCACGGACACCGTGAAGGGAATTTGCATGTCAAGATGTTGCCACAGAACCACAGAGCCCAAGGAAACCTTGAAGGGAATTTCCATGTCAAGATGCTGCAACAGAACCACAGAGCCCACGGACACCTTGAAGGGAATTTCCATGTCAAGATGTTGCAAGAGAACCACAGAGCCCACGGACACCTTGAAGGGAATTTCCATGTCAAGATGTTGCCACAGAACCACAGAGCCCAAGGAAACCTTGAAGAGAATTTCCATGTCAAGATGTTGCAACAGAACGACAGAGCCCACGGACACCTTGAAGGGAATTTGCATGTCAAGATGTTGCCACAGAACCACGGAGCCCACGGACACCTTGAAGGGAATTTCCATGTCAAGATGTTGCAACAGAACCACAGAGACCACGGACACCTTGAAAGGAATTTCCATGTCAAGATGTTGCCAACGACAAATCCCGCGGACACCTTGAAGGGAATTTCCATGCCGAGATGTTGCAACAGAACAACAGAGCCCAAGGACACCTTGAAGAGAACTTGAATGTCAAGATGTTAACAGAACTACAGGGCCCACGGACACCTTGAAGGGAATTTCCATGCCAAGACGTTGCTACAGAACAACAGAGCCCAAGGACACCTTGAAGGGAATTTCCATGTCAAGATGTTGCAACAGAACCACAGAGCCCACGGACACCTTGAAGGGAATTTCCATGTCAAGATGCTGCCAACGACAAATCCCGCGGACACCCTGAAGGGACTTTCCATGCCAAGATGGTGCTACAGAACAACAGAGCCCAAGGAAACCTTGAAGGGAATTTCCATGTCAAGATGTCGCAGCAGGACGACATAGCCCAATAAATCCTTGAAGGGAACTTCCATGTCAAGATGTTGCAACAGAACGACAGAGCGCAAGGAACCTTGAAGGGAATTTCCATGTCAAGATGTTGCAACAGAACGACAGAGCCCACGGACACCTTGAAGGGAATTTCCATGTCAAGATGTTGCCACAGAACCACAGAGCCCAAGGAAACCTTGAAGGGAATTTCCATGTCAAGATGTTGCAACAGAACCACAAAGCCCACGGACACCTTGAAGGGAATTTCCATGTCAAGATGTTGCAAGAGAACCACAGAGCCCACGGACACCTTGAAAGGAATTTCCATGTCAAGATGTTGCCAACGACAAATCCCGCGGACACCTTGAAGGGAATTTCCATGCCAAGATGTTGCTACAGAACAACAGAGCCCAAGGACACCTTGAAGGGAATTTCCATGTCAAGATGTTGCAACAGAACGACAGAGCCCACGGACACCTTGAAAGGAATTTCCATGTCAAGATGTTGCCAACGACAAATCCCGCGGACACCATGAAGGAACTTCCATGCCAAGATGTTGCAACAGAACAACAGAGCCCAAGGACACCTTTAAGAGAACTTGAATGTCAAGATGTTGCAACAGAACTACAGGGCCCACGGACACCTTGAAGGGAACTTCCATGTCAAAATGTTGCAACAGAACGACAGAGCGCAAGGACACCTTGAAGGGAATTTCCTTGTCAAGATGTTGCAAGAGAACCACAGAGCCCACGGACACCTTGAAGGGAATTTGCATGTCAAGATATTGCAACAGAACGACATACCCCAAGAAAACCTTGAAGGGAATTTCCATGTCAAGATGTTGCAACAGAACCACAAAGCCCACGGACACCTTGAAGGGAATTTCCATGTCAAGATGTTGCAAGAGAACCACAGAGCCCACGGACACCTTGAAAGGAATTTCTATGTCAAGATGTTGCCAACGACAAATCCCGCGGACACCTTGAAGGGAATTTCCATGCCAAGATGTTGCAACAGAACAACAGAGCCCAAGGACACCTTGAAGAGAACTTGAATGTCAAGATGTTGCAACAGAACTACAGGGCCCACGGACACCTTGAAGGGAACTTCCATGTCAAGATGTCGCAACAGAACGACAGAGCGCAAGGAACCTTGAAGGGAATTTCCATGTCAAGATGTTGCAACAGAACGACAGAGCCCACGGACACCTTGAAGGGAATTTGCATGTCAAGATGTTGCCACAGAACCACAGAGCCCAAGGAAACCTTGAAGGGAATTTCCATGTCGAGATGTCGCAACAGGACGACATAGCCCAATAAATCCTTGAAGGGAACTTCCATGTCAAGATGTTACAACAGAACCACAAAGCCCACGGACACCTTGAAGGGAATTTCCATGTCAAGATGTTGCAACAGAACCACAGAGCCCACGGACACCTTGAAGGGAATTGCCATGTCAAGATGTTGCCAACGACAAATCCCGCGGACACCTTGAAGGGAATTTCCATGCCAAAATGTTGCCAACGACAAATCCCGCGGACACCTTGAAGGGAATTTCCATGCCAAGATGTTGCTACAGAACAACAGAGCCCAAGCACACCTTGAAGGGAATTTCCATGTCAAGATGTTGCCAACGACACATCCCGCGGACACCTTGAAGGGAATTTGCATGCCAAGATGTTGCAACAGAACAACAGAGCCCAAGGACACCTTAAAGAGAACTTGAATGTCAAGATGTTGCAACAGAACTACGGGGCCCACGGACACCTTGAAGGGAATTTCCATGTCAAGATGTTGCAACAGAACGACAGAGCGCAAGGAACCTTGAAAGGAATTTCCATGTCAAGATGTTGCAACAGAACGACAGAGCCCACGGACACCCTGAAGGGAATTTGCATGTCAAGATGTTGCCACAGAACCACAGAGCCCAAGGAAACCTTGAAGGGAATTTCCATGTCAAGATGCTGCAACAGAACCACAAAGCCCACGGACACCTTGAAGGGAATTTCCATGTCAAGATGTTGCAAGAGAACCACAGAGCCCACGGACACCTTGAAGGGAATTTCCATGTCAAGATGTTGCCACAGAACCACAGAGCCCAAGGAAACCTTGAAGAGAACTTCCATGTCAAGATGTTGCAACAGAACGACAGAGCCCACGGACACCTTGAAGGGAATTTGCATGTCAAGATGTTGCCACAGAACCACGGAGCCCACGGACACCTTGAAGGGAATTTCCATGTCAAGATGTTGGTTGCAACAGAACCACAGAGACCACGGACACCTTGAAAGGAATTTCCATGTCAAGATGTTGCCAACGACAAATCCCGCGGACACCTTGACGGGAATTTCCATGCCGAGATGTTGCAACAGAACAACAGAGCCCAAGGACACCTTGAAGAGAACTTGTATGTCAAGATGTTAACAGAACTACAGGGCCCACGGACACCTTGAAGGGAATTTCCATGCCAAGACGTTGCTACAGAACAACAGAGCCCAAGGACACCTTGAAGGGAATTTCCATGTCCAGATGTTGCAACAGAACCACAGAGCCCACGGACACCTTGAAGGGAATTTCCATGTCAAGATGCTGCCAACGACAAATCCCGCGGACACCCTGAAGGGAGTTTCCATGCCAAGATGGTGCTACAGAACAACAGAGCCCAAGGAAACCTTGAAGGGAATTTCCATGTCAAGATGTCGCAGCAGGACGACATAGCCCAATAAATCCTTGAAGGGAACTTCCATGTCAAGATGTTGCAACAGAACGACAGAGCGCAAGGAACCTTGAAGGGAATTTCCATGTCAAGATTTGCAACAGAACGACAGAGCCCATGGACACCTTGAAGGGAGTTTCCATGTCAAGATGTTGCAACAGAACTACAGGGCCCACGGACACCTTGAAGGGAATTTCCATGTCAAGATGTTGCAACAGAACGACAGAGCGCAAGGAACCTTGAAGGGAATTTCCATGTCAAGATGTTGCAACAGAACGACAGAGCCCACGGACACCTTGAAGGGAATTTGCATGTCAAGATGTTGCCACAGAACCACGGAGCCCACGGACACCTTGAAGGGACTTTCCATGTCAAGATGTTGCCAACGACAAATCCCGCGGACACCTTGAAGGGAATTTCCATGCCAAGATGTTGCAACAGAACAACAGAGCCCAAGGACACCTTGAAGAGAACTTGAATGTCGAGATGTTAACAGAACTACAGGGCCCACGGACACCTTGAAGGGAACTTCCATGTCAAGATGTTGCAACAGAACGACAGAGCGCAAGGAACCTTGAAGGGAATTTCCATGTCAAGATGTTGCAACAGAACCACAGAGCCCACGGACACCTTGAAAGGAATTTCCATGTCAAGATGTTGCCAACGACAAATCCCGCGGACACCATGAAGGGAACTTCCATGCCAAGATGTTGCAACAGAACAACAGAGCCCAAGGACACCTTTAAGATAACTTGAATGTCAAGATGTTGCAACAGAACTACAGGGCCCACGGACACCTTGAAGGGAACTTCCATGTCAAGATGTTCCAACAGAACGACAGAGCACAAGGAACCTTGAAAGGAATTTCCATGTCAAGATGTTGCCCCAGAACGACAGAGCCCACGGACACCTTGAAGGGAATTTGCATGTCATGTCAAGATGCTGCAGCAGAACGACATAGCCCAATAAAACCTTGAGGGAGTTTCCATGTCAAGATGTTGCAACAGAACTACAGGGCCCACGGACACCTTGAAGGGAATTTCCATGTCAAGATGTTGCAACAGAACGACAGAGCGCAAGGAACCTTGAAGGGAATTTCCATGTCAAGATGTTGCAACAGAACGACAGAGCCCACGGACACCTTGAAGGGAATTTGCATGTCAAGATGTTGCCACAGAACCACAGAGCCCAAGGAAACCTTGAAGGGAATTTCCATGTCAAGATGTTGCAACAGAACGACATAGCCCAAGAAAACCTTGAAGGGAATTTCCATGTCAAGATGTTGCAACAGAACCACAAAGCCCACGGACACCTTGAAGGGAAATGCCATGTCAAGATGTTGCCAACGACGAATCCCGCGGACACCTTGAAAGGAATTTCCATGTCAAGATGTTGCCAACGACAAATCCCGCGGACACCTTGAAGGGAATTTCCATGCCAAGATGTTGCTACAGAACAACAGAGCCCAAGGTCCCCTTGAAAGGAATTTCCATGTCAAGTTGCCAACGACAAATCCCGCGGACACCCTGAAGGGAGTTTCCATGCCAAGATGGTGCAGCAGAACAACAGAGCCCAAGGACACCTTGAAGAGAACTTGAATGTCAAGATGTTGCAACAGAACTACAGGGCCCACGGACACCTTGAAAGGAACTTCCATGTCAAGCTGTTGCAAGAGAACGACAGAGCGCAAGGAACCTTGAAGGGAATTGCCATGTCAAGATGTTGCAACAGAACCACAGAGCCCAAGAAAACCTTGAAGGGAATTTCCATGTCAAGATGTTGCAACAGAACCACAAAGCCCACGGACACCTTGAAGGGAATTGCCATGTCAAGATGTTGCCAACGACAAATCCCACGGACACCTTGAAGGGAATTTCCATGCCAAGATGTTGCCAACGAAAATGGCCGGAGAATTAAATTAGGAGATTTTTTGCTTTTTTTAGGAATTTTTTGTTTTTGGGTTTAGGGTTTAGGGCTTAGGGTTTAGGGTTTAGGAGGGTTTAGGGTGTAGGGTTTAGGGTTGAGGGTTGAGGGTTGAGGGTTTAGGGTTTAGGGCTTTTTTTCGCTCCCGCATAGCTGGCCGAACCGCAGGCAGGGTTACGTCTATGGTATGTCCAGTCGAAAAACGCGGCCCCATACTAGGACCTGGGTTTAGGGTTTAAGGTTTAGGGTTTAGGGCTTAGGGTTTAGGGATTTTTTTTGCCACCCGCTTAGCTGACCTCTCGGACACTCTGCAGGGAACTGGCGGTTAAATACTGGGCGTCAAAAACTGGGGCTTTCATCTAGGCTGAGTTCAAGTCAAGTTCAAGTCAAACCACCGAAACAAACAGTCAAAGCAACCAGTCAATCAGAAAGAAGTCCCTTCTCAGCCTAGACAACGACCTGCTCAAACAGTCAACTACCCAAGCCGAGTCACTACCATCACGGGGCTCTCCAACAACAATTGAACACAGCAGCACAGCACGCAACCAGAGGTACGCAGCACTGAGAGCCCCATGAGCTAGTCATCCACAATGCTTTAGGGGCCGAAGGGCATCCAGGCTCTAGCAAGGCTGCAAATTCGCCGCCCGCATCCAGCTCTTGTACAACGGTTGCCTACCCAAACGCCACGGACAGGACGCACTGCACCTTGCTCTTGAGGTTCTGCATGACCTGCGCACTTGCCCCTGCCGCGTTGTTGTTGCGCAGCAGTTCGTATACCGCCACGTCTAGACGGCTCGCGGCCCCGGAATTTGCCCCATCTCTGTCGTATCACCCAATCACCGTCCACGGCCCTGCACCACACTTCGGCCTCGAATGCAGCGGCGCATCAAGATGCTCTCGTGGAGGCGGTGCAACCCAGACTGGAGCCATCTTCGTCTGTCGTCGGAGTCTGGCGAACCAAGGAGGCTGAGGTCCCGTCCTACATCTTTCTTCTTTTTCTTCTGCTTGCCAGCTTCCATCCCGGTCCAAAACCATGCTCAACATCATCATGGAGACTGGCCCGTCAATGGCCCTGGCGGATCAGCTTCTTCAAGTCCAGCTCCTCGCCCTGGTTGTCGGCCTCCTTGGCCTTGGATCGGCGCTGCACGTTCTGCCCTGGAGGCGACCTGTCGGTCGGGTCCTCGGCAACTCGGCTCTACTGCTCTCCAGCTCTGCGGTCTTCTCAGCTTTCTTCCAACAGGCCTGGCATGCTGAAAGCGAGGGCAAGTCCTTCAGCTTCAAAGCCACCCACCCCTCCGGCCCTCCGGAGCTCGCACAGTCAAGGCCTCCAGAGGCACCCGTACAAAGGCAATTTCCTCTTTGCCCTCTCCTTCACGGTGTGCCCCACGGTGGCCACTTGCAGCTGCTTGCGTAGCTATGAAGCCGTCAGACGGGTATCGGCCCTCCTGACCCTTCACAGACCACGTAGGTAATGTCCAGAGCCATGGCCTTTAAAAAATGTCCAACCCCTGAAGACTTGAGAGGAAGAGGCATCAAGCGGGCCTGCTCATGTACACATTCTCCAGAGGGAAAGTGGACCTTAGCACCCAAAGTGCAGGAATGCGAGGCTCAACCCAAATTGGACACCCTCAACCTGCAAGCTTTTTTGGGATGTGGTTTTTGGTTCTGGGTTCAGGGTAGGTTCAGGGCGGAGGGTAGGGTATTGGGCTTGGATAAATGTGGTCTGTACGCGACCCACCCCCCCCCCCCCCACACTCCCCAAGTAGCACTAACAGACCGGAAAACCGAATAAACACGCATATTCGGCGGGGGTCGCTAAACACGCCGTAAGCAAAACAACACCATCTCGCACCGAGGTTCTGGACAACATAGTGCGTTGGCACATGTAGGCTCATGTAAGCTCCAAAAACAACACACGTCTCGCACCGAGGTTGTGGACAACATAGTGCGTTGGCACATGTAGGCTCATGCAAGCTCCGAAAAACACACGTCTCGCACCGAGGTTGTGGACAACATTCATGTAAGCTCAAAAACAACGCACGTCTCGCACCGTTGTGGACAACATACTGCATTGGCACATGTAGGCTCATGTAAGCTCCAAAGACAACACATGTCTCGCACCGAGGTTGTGGACAACATAGTGCGTTGGCACATGTAGGCTCAGGTAAGCTCCAAAACAACACACGTCTCGCACCGAGGTTGTGGACAACATAGCGCGTTGGCACATGTAGGCTTATGGAAGCTCCAAAAACAACACACGTCTCGCAGCGAGGTTGTGGACAACATAGTGCGTTGGCACATGCAGGCTCATGTAAGCTCCAAAGACAACACATGTCTCGCACCGAGGTTGTGGACAACATAGTGCGTTGGCACATGTAGGCTCATGTAAGCTCCAAAACAACACGCGTCTCGCACCGAGGTTGTGGACCATAGTGCGTTGGCGCATGTAGGCTCATGTAAGCTCCAAAAACAAGGCAGCCGCTTTATTCGCCGCCGTGGAAGGGTTTCATTTTTTAGAAAAACGTGGGGCTTTGGCAACACGCATGTCCGGGAAAAGTTCGTGATTTGTGCTTTGTCTTTTCCGCCAACAGCAGTGTCCTTTGTGGTTCAGTCGGCCCTACAAGGCTTGGCACAACTGGGCAGCTGCTGTTGCAAGCTTTGCTTCTTTTGGCCCAAGACGCAAAACGCTGCAAATACCGACGTTTCCGACACCCACCGGCAACTGAAAGCCAGGCATGCAGAAGACAGCGACCGACGCCCACGACCGGAAGCAACAAAAACAAAAACAAAAACAAATGAGGCACTGCGGAAAGTGTTGTATATACATCCCGAGGATTCCCCTCCAAAAGGCCCGAAAATGCTGTAAATGCCGAGGATTCTGAAGCAACCCGCCCCGCCCTCCCAACAGAAACGGCGAAACATTGCAAAAATCGCTGTCGGCACAAAAAAGAAATAAAAGAGTGCCCAAAACACTGTGAGCACCGAGGTTTCGGCAAACACCCCTACCCCGCCCCCCGCCAAAAAAAACGTCTGGCAAGCATGTTGAGCTGACCAGCCCAAGACGAAAAAACACCATAAACACCAATGTTTCCGACTGCACGCAACACAAGGGACGCAACCACCCCCCCCCCCCGGAGAATTGCAGAAGTCGACAACCCTTTCCACGGCGGCGAACGAAGCGGGCTGCCAAAAACAACACACGTCTCGCACCGAGGTTGTGGACAACATAGTGCGCTGGCACATGTAGGCTCATGTAAGCTCCAAAACAACACACGTCTCGCACCGAGGTTGTGGACAACATAGTGCGTTGGCACATGTAGGCTCACGCAAGCTCCGAAAAACACACGTCTCGCACCGAGGTTGTGGACAACATAGTGCGCTGGCACATGTAGGCTCATGTAAGCTCCAAAACAACACACGTCTCGCACCGAGGTTGTGGACAACATAGTGCGCTGGCACATGTAGGCTCATGTAAGCTCCAAAACAACACACGTCTCGCACCGAGGTTGTGGACAACATAGTGCGTTGGCACATAGGCTCACGCAAGCTCCGAAAAACACACGTCTCGCACCGAGGTTGTGGACAACATAGTGCGCTGGCACATGTAGGCTCATGTAAGCTCCAAAACAACACACGTCTCGCACCGAGGTTGTGGACAACATAGTGCGTTGGCACATGTAGGCTCACGCAAGCTCCGAAAACACACGTCTCGCACCGAGGTTGTGGACAACATAGTGCGCTGGCACATGTAGGCTCATGTAAGCTCCAAAAAAACACACGTCTCGCACCGAGGTTGTGGACAACATAGTGCGTTGGCACATGTAGGCTCATGTAAGCTCCAAAACAACACACGTCTCGCACCGAGGTTGTGGACAACATAGTGCGTTGGCACATGTAGGCTCACGCAAGCTCCGAAAAACACACGTCTCGCACCGAGGTTGTGGACAACATAGTGCGCTGGCACATGTAGGCTCATGTAAGCTCCAAAACAACACACGTCTCGCACCGAGGTTGTGGACAACATAGTGCGCTGGCACATGTAGGCTCACGCAAGCTCCGAAACAACACACGTCTCGCACCGAGGTTGTGGACAACATAGTGCGCTGGCACATGTAGGCTCATGTAAGCTCCAAAACAACACACGTCTCGCACCGAGGTTGTGGACAACATAGTGCGTTGGCACATGTAGGCTCATGCAAGCTCCGAAAAACACACGTCTCGCACCGAGGTTGTGGACAACATAGCGCGCTGGCACATGTAGGCTCATGTAAGCTCCAAAACAACACACGTCTCGCACCGAGGTTGTGGACAACATAGTGCGTTGGCACATGTAGGCTCACGCAAGCTCCGAAAAACACACGTCTCGCACCGAGGTTGTGGACAACATAG